CACCTGCACTGATCTTGGTGAGCTGCGCCACTACCTTGGCCTGCAGATCACCAGGGACAGAGCTGCTCGCACCATTACACTTTCACAGTCGCACATGGTGCAGCAGGTCCTTCAGCGGTTCGGGCTTCAGCACTCCACAGTACAGCGCACACCTCTTGCTGTTGACCACAGACTCACTGGACCCTTTCCTGACGAGCCGTTCGAGCCTAGTGGTCCCTACGCAGAGCTTGTGGGTTGCCTCATGTACCTGATGACTTGTACTCGCCCGGACCTCGCCTTCCCTCTCAGCGTTCTTGCGCGCTTTGTTGCGCCAGGGAGACACCGTCCTGTTCACTGGACAGCAGCTGTGAGGGTGGCGAAGTACCTAGCGACGACGTCAGGCGTGGGGCTAGTTCTTGGAGGGCAGCAGTCTGTCGTACTTACTGGTCACTGTGACTCCTCTTACGCTGACGACGCTGAGACTCACAGGTCTACTCAGGGGTACTGTTTCAGCCTGGGTTCTGGAGCTGTTTCCTGGCGGTCCACGCGCTCCTCTTCTGTCTCGACCTCTACAGCTGAGGCTGAGATCTACGCTGGTGCCATGGCGGCACAGGAGCTGCGTTGGTTGACCTTCTTGCTCACCGACCTTGGTGAGCGGCCGAGCTCTGCACCGACCTTGTTCACTGACAACAAGGCGTCTATTCTCCTTTGTCGAGAGCCACGACTGGAGAGCAGAGTGAAGCACATTCACGTCAGGTACTTTCTTCTGCGAGAGTTGCAGAGGCGTGGACAGGCTCGCTTTGAGTTTGTGGAGTCCGAGGCCAACACTGCAGACATCTTCACCAAGGCGCTTCCGCCTTGTGACCACCAGAGGTGCTGTGTGCAGTTAGGCCTTGTTGACACTGGTTCTCGTGTTGCTTAGGCTTGAGTGTACTGTTTACTTTGCTTTCTATATACCTCTGTTACTTCTTGGACTGGCCTTGTGGCCACTGTTGTTTGTGCTTAGACTGTGTGGTGACGTTGTGATCCACCCTGAGCTTCGTTTCTTGGACTGGTCTTGTGACCGTACTCGTTTGGTTCTGCTAGACACCCCTCACTTAGGCTATGGGGGTGTGTCAAATGTTGTAGCCTATAGTGAGGTTTGTCTTAGGGGGTACAAAACTTAGGATTAGCTGTATGTACCCCAACCAACATCAATGCATCATCCATTCCTCATTCTGACACTTGTGTGCTATAGTGAAACCCCTCTTTCCTTGCCTAAACTCTCTCGACACTTTCTCCTCTTCACCCTAGCATGGCTCCTCACCTCTAGCTACTATCTTTACTTTGGATTGGAGAAGGCTATGGTGGTTGGGAGTAATTAAAGAGGTGGCTGATAGGCTTGAGTTGGAGAAGATGAGTTGGAAAAGGAGGTTTGTAACTTGAGTGGTTGGAATAGGCTTTGGAGGAGTTGGGTGGTTTGGATGGATTCTTAGGAAAAAGTGACGAGGGTGTTTTGAGGGGAAGGGGTTGGAGTGTACAGTAGCGTGCCCATTCACAACAACCAGCACAGGCTGACGAGGTACGTAATTACGACGCTGTAAAGGTCACACAGAACATAAACACAAGGCACCCACCCCAAGCAAGACCCCACTGCGATCATTGCGATTGGCGGGAAAACAGAAATCCTCGTCATAGTTTTGCTCGACTGCAGTCGGCCACTGACATGAAGCAAACACAGCAGGACATTACGACGCGAGCAGGACATAATGGGCACTGACTCAGCACTCACGAAAACATGAACATTTAGCATTATGTTCTTGCGTAGAAATCAATGCATACAAAATATCCACCAAATGTATTTTCTTTGGAAAAAAGCCTGGGGTGAATTCTTGATTATACCTTGGTATTTTCTGTGCAGCTGGGCCACGGGATGCTACATTGCTGACCTTTCAGCGTTGGCCCTCATCCATCACACTGAAATCAGCTAGGTCAAAACAATCTTACATTGAAAACCCTAAAGGCTGCTTTGGGCGAACAAAATCAAGGTCGACCACCCTTGTCAAACACCAAACACTGTCAAGTTGCTCGTGATGATTCTCGAGCCTGGCTTCAAAGGGACAGCACGTGAGCCAACATGTGCTCCCCACACACTTCCAACATCCAGGGTGCCTGAGTGGTAGAAGTACAAGCCACACCCACACGCGCGGGCGTGCGCGAACACACACACATACGCATGCACGCACACACGCTTGAAAGGTGAGAATGTTTGAAAGCAGCAATGGAGGTATGCATGCTATGATAGCTTTTATGCCAACATTCCTGTGGATACGATAGCAACTCAGTCCCCTTAGTGCACTAATTCCCCTCTGCTATGTGGCTCATTGTGTGTGTGCCTACCAGATAGTCTGCCCCTGTGACTTCACCATGTCACTTGCTGAGGCTGCAGGAGCACGCCAGGCAGAAGGCTTTAAGCTCTCTCAGTCTCGCGGTTCATGCGCACAGCAATGAGATACACCGCCACCAGTGCATCGCTCACTGCCCACCTCCCCCCACTCACTTCCTTCTCTCCCCAAACATGAGCTCGCAGCCTCGCATCACGCCCCTACCGACCTGATCGAACGCAAGGCATAATGCCTTAAGCTCTCTACCTGTCCCGCGGTTCATGCACACGGCGATCAGATAAGCCGCCACCACTGCATCGCTGACACACCGCGCTCCCTCCTTCTCACATCCGCCCTATGGGCAGCAATTTCTGCAGCAGAGACATGGTTTCCTGGTAGGGAAGAGGGGAGTCACGGAAAGCAGGCAGAAAAAGGAAAGATCTGAGAGCTTTGAGCCGTCCATCTCACACACACTGCTGCCCATCCCCACTCTCCTCACAGCCGCCCCCATGTCCAGCAGGTTCTGCAGCAGCGACATGGTTTCCTGGAAGAGGGGAGAGGCATAGGACAGGGCACAGAACAAGACACAGGCTGAGAGTTAAGACATCAACAACCCCCTCTAAACCTTACTAGAAGTTTTACCTGAAATCTCACCTGACACTTAAGACTTCGCTATTTCACCTGAGGTCTCACCTGGAAGCCAAGGTGCACGCCTAAAAGAATATCCCTGAAGGCGCACCTGAGAGCAAGATCTGCTCCAGCACGCGCCGCATCTCCTCTTCGCCCAGCGGCCGGGTCTGCGTGGGTCCCGTGCACACGCGCGCCTGCGCCTCGAGAACCACCTGGTTCGGACCCAAGTTCCTGCAAAAACCTTCCGCGCAAGTTCCAGCCGGTCTCCTCTTCCCCGATCTTGCGAATCTCAGCCGATACAGACGGCTCGGATTCGTCTGAGGCTTCGCTTGCACGGCTCATGGCGGAAACGGCTCGACAGTGAGTGGAGGGCGAGTTACTACGGAAATTTCGAGGCTTCCCGTTCGGAGGAACTGCGTGGAATGAATTCGTGTGGGAAAGACTGTCGCACGGCTATTCGATGGCCCTCCTGGTGCTGCGACGGTCGCGGTTGGCGAGGATCTGAACATTCGATCGCACAATAGCAAGTTTCTCGCATGTGATTCGGCCGATCGGCTCGCATGTGCCCCACGCAGGTTGCATGAGTCGCCAGGGGATCGCACCTGGCGGGATCGACGCAGTGGCGCGATGCGGCAGCGGGGTAACCCGCGATACCATCATCTGTTGCGAAGAGAAGTTAGCGCAGAATGAGAGTAGGTAAGGGCGTCGTTCGGGGGGGGAAAAAGGTAGATCAGCAGTCGAACACGTGAAATATTTACGATTATCGAGAAATAAATAACGAAGGTCTTAGTGATGTAAATCTTTGTTTCCTTCCAGATATACGGTCATATTTGGAAATATTAACAAGCCTAGATACTACAAATATTATTTTCTACACTCAACACAATTAGCAACTGTACAGAGCCTTAACGTCCTATTTGATAGTGATCCATAACCACTGAAGAGCTATGGGGTGTTACTCCACAATAAGGTTGCTGTTGTAGATACCAAGTTGAATCACATAAATAAATAACCTGCACAGTGCAACCCAGAATGTTAATTCTCAGAAAGTGATTTCAATGTATGGAAGTGCAGAAAACGGGACAACTCACATGGGTTTAGTTCGACTGTCACAAGCCTTGCAAGGGGCTGGCTGTCGGAGGCTTGAAGACCATCCTCCCCCACCACAGGGAGGACTGGCTGCAAGGTATGGAGCCATCAGAGGCATGGAACCATCCTCCCCCACCACAGGGAGGACTGGCCATTGAGGCATAAAACCATCCTCCCCCACCACAGGGAGGACTGGCTGTTGAGGTTTAAAGCCATCCTCCCCCACCACAGGGAGGACTGGCCCACCCTCAGGGTTGCTAGTATCAAGACATGCGGGAGCCCATATGCACATGCTGGTTCTGTACTTTTGGACCCCCATCAAGTAGCAGAGCTGCTGCAGTCAGCTCTGCTACCGGACAAAACCATTGTGTATGGCCCGGAATCGAGATTAGCCAACCACAAGGGTGCACTCAACCATGCAAAGCCTCCTCATGCCTTTGATGACTTCATGCCATTAGCACATGCCACACCAACCCCTCCTTGGGCACCTGCAGGAAACAAGAGCAAAATTCAGTAACTTGGTAGAAGTAGAAAAAAATGCTGGAAGTTATCATATGTACCTCGTTCTTAGGATGGTGAGTTGAGCTTCGTAGCCTTGGACTGGTAGGAGCCTTGAGTAGAAACTGTCAGACGAAAGCCTCCACTGCTGAAATACCTGCAGGGTGAAAAGGCAAATGTCAGTTTGGTTGTGAAAGAAAACGAATAGCTGAAGGTTAAAACCAGTACCCTGGTGGCCTTGTATACTGAAATGATTGATTTGTTGAAGGTCTTGACAGGCGAGTGACCGTTAAAGGGCTCGAAGGTGGGGTACCTGCAAAAAAGGAAACAAAGAGACGTCAGTCAAGCTTAAAAAGAGAAACAAACAAAAAACAATTCAAGAAGTCAAGAACGTTACCTTGAGGGCCTTGGATGCTGGGATGTGACGCTGATTGTTGAAGGTCAAGGGAAGCAAGTGGCTGTTGGAAGGGCTTGAGTGGTGAGACACCTGCGAAAAGAAAACAAGGAGACGTCAGACAAATGTTAAAACGAAAATAAACGAAAAACATTTCAAGTCAAGAGCATTACCTTGGGGGCCTTGGGCGTTGGGATTTTTTATTGTTGAAGGTCTTGAAAGGGAAATGGCTGTTGAAGGGCTTGAGTGGTGAGGTACCTGCGGACGTAAACAAGAAGACATCAGTCAAGATTATATCAAAACAACCAAAAGAAACAATACAAGAAGTCAGGAGCGTTACCTTGGGGGCCTTGAATGTTGGGATGCTCAATGAGTGCCTTGAGATGGAAGTGGCTGTTGAAGAGCTTGAATAGTGAGGTACCTGTGGAAAGAAATGAAGGAGTTGTCAGTGAGAGTAGAAAAGTTAAACAACATTAACCACTGAAAGTTCGGAGCTTTACCTTCCCAAGGCTTGAAATTCTTGAAGGGACTTGGTAGAAAGCCTTTCTTCATGCTGCCACACAAGCTCTCTCGGTTGACCCCGCAGCGTTGAGAAGAAGGCCTGCCAATCAAAAGAAAGGTTTGGGAAGAGAATGTTAATGCAAGTGAACCTAGGAGCTCCGTGGAGAATCAAGGCGTGTATCCATGCACATGATGGATGGAGTAGCATGGATGCATGAGCGCTTACCACCACATCCACACAAGCCAAGTACCATACCTAAAGAGACCTGAAGATCTCACCAGAAAGAGGAGTACCCTATACCAAATACCTGACCAGCTAAGGGGGAATGGCTCATGTGGTGACGGTGGCTAGCGCTGATGCATACATGCATGGAAAGGTGCATGTCATGATGGAACCGAAAGCATGGTGTAAAGCTCGAAATAGCAGAAAACAAGCAAAAACGCAACACCAGAGGCGAGGCTCGAAAGATACTTATCTCCACACTGAACGATGGCTGAAGTGTTCGCTCCAGATGTGCAATTGACGCTTGGAAATTGGCCCCGCTGCTCGAATGTTGGCTCCAGGAAGTCGCTTGGATGATTGCTTGAAGGCTGAACCGTAACTTTGACGTGTTGAGCGTAGTGTTGCTCCAGATCGCGTCCAAGGAGAAAGAGCATCTGCCATTTAAAAATAGAGGGCGGAAAGTGAGTGAGTACATGCAGCAGTGAACATCCAAACGAGCAAGGAAAGTAAGCATGTGCATGGCGGATGGTACAGATATGCAGGAACACAATGCAAAAGCGCTTAACACCACTGCTATAAGAGCCAAGTACAAAAAAAAACCAAGAGACCTGAGGGACTCACCAGAAAAAGTACCCTAAAAAAATATATACCATCTAAGGGGAGTGGCTCCTATAGCAGTTGCGGTAAGCGCTCAAGCATGAGAAAAAAACAGTAATGGAAACGATGAGCGGGAAATGGAGTTGGGGGAAACAAGTAAAGCTTGGTACTTATCTGCAATCCAAGTTCAGATCGAGTGTTGGTTGACGTCATTGCTTGAAGTCCTCGTTCAGACTGCTGGCTTCAAGTCTTGGTCTTGACATGTTGAGATCCAAGGGCCTTGCTTCTCTCAGGTGATGGAGCATCGTAGCGGAGCGGAGAAACTGCCAGCAAAACGAAAAATAGGACGTTAGGTTCACAGTGACGAAAGGATGCGATAAACGAAACAATGCGACGAAGAAATAAATTTATGTGGGAGGGATGGGGTCTTCCAGCCAAAGCAGCCGCACCGTAGAGCTCAGACAGACTGACGCATGCATGACTTGGCGACGCTGACACTAGACAGACCTAAAGAGAGACTGGCTCAAACTTAGGGGAAGAGACAGGGAACTCTACGGGAGGAGCTTTGGCTGGAAGACCAACAACCAGTACGGATGAATGATAGCTGACACGATGAGGGTGAGGAGAATACTTAGCTGGAAGAATGGAAGGCTGGTTAAGAACGTAGGCTGGCTAAGTCCGAGAGTGTTCGAACGGTTGAGCAGCAGGGTGACGAATGTCGAGTAGATGTGCAGCCGCCGTCGCGATGAGTGCTGAGAAAAGCTCCGATGCCATTTGAGAGCGTTGAATGTCTTTATTCCACTTCTCTGCATTAAGGGATAAATGACGCGAATCAGTACAAGTTCAACGTGCAAACGGAAAAAAAGGTATGCTCAGGACTAATAAATTGGTTGAAGAAGAATATTATGGCTTACCTTTAAGATGAAAGTCTTGATGCTTGAGCAACTTGCCAAACAACAGCAGAAGCTTCAATCTTGAAAGGGCCGAAGTTGGAAGTCGTGAAGTTCAGAAGGATGTGGTAGAAACTATTGCACCCGCGGACGAGAAGTCCAGTTGCACAAGGGAGGTTGAAAACTGTGAAGGATGTATTCTGCGTCGAAATCGTTTAGGCATGAGGTTGAAATGTCGGCTGGGAATGTGCTGACTTATATGCTTGCATTCGAGCAAACTGGCTCGAGAGCAGAAGTACTGCTCGAGAACGCAAATGACGCTGACGACGGTGGAACAGGAGAAGGCCCCACAAACTTGACTCAGTTTCGAGCCGCGTGCGTCGGAAGTTCGCGCTAAGAAAACGGCTACGTGGCCGCTATAGGAGAATCTAGGAGGCTCACAGCCCAAGGATTTCTGACTTCTCGAGTTCAAACGGCTGAGAGAGCGGCTGTGTGTCAGGGGGATGGGTCCCCGGGGGGTTCGATGCCCAAGTGATGGTGAGTATGTTGACCTTGAGTTTCGTGTGTTTGGCGACCTTAGGGAGTGTCGGCGAATCATGACGGTCGGATTCCTCGATCCGAGGGCTGACATGCACCGACATCTTGCGACATCCAGCGACATATGTCGCTTCAGACACGCCCTTCCCGAAGTGCTGACTGATCTGGGTCCTAGTCATATTCTGCTGTGGTTTCTTCACGGTCAGAATGGATTCGGGGTGACAACGATTGGGCCACCACCACCTTTTCAATTGGTTCGTGAGATCCGGGCTGGGCTGGTTCCGCGGCGAACGCGCGGGCTTTGGCAGGTTTTCGCAGAACAGGGGGCGCGCGGAGCGCTGCGCACAGCACTGCGCGAAGCGTAGAGAACAAGAGAGGAAATTGGTTGTACAGAAGGGAGGGCATTTCACTTCACACTCTACCACCCCACTCCTCCCCAAGTTTTTTGCGAGTTGGCGAATGTGGGCTGCATGCACTTGCTGGATGGAGGCGACGACAGAGGAGTCGCCAAAACAGAGGTTTCCGCTGTCGTCGTCCGTCGTACAGGAATGTGCGAAAAGTATCGTCACCAAAGTCGTGAAAGTCCGGACCGTCACCGCTCTGCAGCGTACTGTAAGGGCGTGTTAAATTTCCGCTACTTTGGAAATTTGGGGTACGGCCGAATTTGCGACGACCAATTGGTCGTCGCATTTTTCGCGAAAGTCGTCGTACTGGCCGTTTCGGGGACGACTCATTTACAGCCTAAACTTTCAGTTTCGAAGATTTAACATCCCAGAGGCCGATTTACAGGCCGGCTCGTCCAAAGTGTTAAATCAGAAGAGGCCGGATCGTGCGACGGTGTCGCACGATTGCCACAACATTGGCAACAACCAATGGGTTGCCATGTGAATGGACAGTCAAGAAGGGTTGCGCGGCTCCATTCACACTCCCACAACACACCATGCTGGAACAAAACCCCATCCCAATCCACCCCAGCAAATACCTGTATAAACCCGTCCCCCCATTGAAACAAACTCAGAACAATGGCCACTCACTTCAGTCCACGAGCCACAAGAACCCTCGCCGCCGGAGTTGTACAGAGTGTTCTAGTTCCCTGGATCACCACCGTCAGCCTCCTGCTCCCGGTCCTCGTTGACTTCGCTGACGATGAGGGGTACAAAATGTTTTGTCCCGCTGATTTTCTAGTGTGTGCTGCATTGGACGATGTGTACTGATTCTCATGTGCGGGTTGTGGTTTGGCGGGCCGCATGTGCTCACTCCGAGTCGCGCACGAAATGTGGCATGTAGTCGGGGAGATGTGTTTCGTGTTGGGGTTTGGTGGTTGGGATGCGTTTCGTGTCATTGATGCGACGGTCAACAGGATTTGCGACGCCGCGCAGTTTTGTCGCAACGACGGGCCGTTTTCGCGGCTGTGTTGCGGACGTCGCGGCGTCGTTTTCACGACGTCGTGATTAAACGGCCCTCAAATGTAATTTTTTTTTGGCGAAATTCGCGATAGTCGTGCATGATTTGCGAATCTCGCAAGCGGGTTAGGGTGAATTCCTAGCTCGTGTCTGACATCAGGTCATCCGTCCTTAGAAGCTCGGAAGACCCGAAGTGGTTCAAAATAGGGGCAAATCAACATTGAGAAGAGACAAATCAGAGACTAAGGGCGGATGACCTGATGTCAGACCCGCCATAGGAATGCGCCCTTAGAGCGTGTTACGTACCCCTTATTTTGGTGTTAGGCCCCGGTTGCCTCCAAAAGTCGACTCAACCTGACTGGTCAGGTCAACCGGGGCTGTCAACTTGGCCGGTTGGGTACCTAGCAGGCAACCTGCAAATGTACCACTCGCCTGCTTTTGGGACCCAACCGTGCCAACAGTATTTCGGGTAGACCCAACAGTCACTGTTTCAATCTTAGTGGCCAAAATTAGGCAACCCAACCGGCATGTTTGAGGCAACCGCGACCGGGCCCCAAAATAAGGGGTACGTAACACGCTCTTACTTTCGCAAATTAGGCCCGACGGATTTTGTATCCCAAATTGGTGTTTGCGATTTAACACGCCCTAACCTACAAAAAAAATAGATTTACACAAAAAGATCGCCTAAACCTCACACGACATTCAGACTTTTTGGAGGGAGAGTAAGAAATTAGGATTTTCCACGCCAACAAATCGCCGGAATGGAATGGTGACTGCACGGAGGAACAAATTCAGGTAATGGCAGGTGGAATGTACTTGAAAATGACGGCATGGCAACGAGGGAAGTCCCTAGCCGAAGGTTCTTAGATATTTTGAAAGCGCTGGATGTCTCATACGAATCAGGGCCTTCGAAAAGGTACAGATGCCCCCCGAAACAGGTATAGAGGACGAGAACAGACTCCCTACGACGATGCGGAAACGAAAACCGCGAAATGATTGTTCCGAGCGCCTCGTAGACGACACCGAGCCAGAGGAGAACGAGGATAGGCGGAATGGGGTACTGCTGAATAAAACGGCGGGTTTCTCGGAGACGTTTAGGCGCGCAATGCGCAGGGTTCCAGCGATTGTTGCGCTGCGCGCCGTGCTGCCACGCGGGAGCTGGTGGGACCTGCAGCAGCTGGCTGGGAGGAAGGCAGCACGCGGGAAAGGGGCCAGTGGTAGCAGCAGCACCGATAGCAGCAGCGATGGGGATAGCAATGGGAGTGGGAGTGGGAGCGGGGGTGCAGAAAGGGATTCGCCCGGCGAGCTGTGGGACGCCATTCGCAAGCTCTGGCGGTTCTGCGCGCCCAACAGGACCATGCTCGTCCTCGCTGCCCTCTGCCTCGCTCTCGCCGCTGTCAGTCCTCCTCCCTTCCTCTCCCTCCACCTCCATTGGAGCTCCTCCTCCCCTGACTTCCTCTCCTTTCCCCCCCCCCTCCCCCCCTTTCCCTCCCCGCGCCCTCGTCGCTGTCAGTCCCTTCCATGCTCTTCCTCCCGTGAATTCCCCTCTCCTCCGCTCACTTCCTCTCCCCTGAGGAGATGAGCTCCTCCCCTCACTTCCCCCCTCCTCCCTTCCTCTCCCCTCCCCCTCTCCCCCTCCCAGCCGTCAATGTGACCCCCTTCTCTCTTTTCTCCCCGCCTTACCCCCCTCCCGCTCTCCTCTGTGCGCTGTCAGCTGTCAGAGGTGGCCATGCCGCACTACCTAGCAGCCGCCATATTCAATGCGTCTCACGGGCTCACAGACCAGTTCAGCCACAACGTTCGTCTCCTCGTCGCCATGACTCTCGCCTGTGGCCTCTTCAGGTGCGTGTGATGCTCAGGCGATTGCCGTGTTCAGGTGATTGCTGTGTCCAGGTGTTTGCTGTGTTCAGGTGATTCCTTGTTCAGGTGTTTGCTGTGTTCAGGTGTTTGCTGTGTTCAGGTGATCGCTGTGTCCAGGTGAGTGCGTGCATGTTCTAATCTAACCATGTCCTGAAGTTACCAGCTCTTTCCTGTGCTCGTGCTGGTGCCGTGATCCGTGCTGTGGGCTGAGGGCCGCCTCGTTCACCATCTTCAACGTTCAACTGGTGAGTGAGCGCACACCTGCACCGCCTGTTTCAACAGCCCTTCCATGCTACACACTCTCGCTCTTACTCTCTCACATGTTCACCTAGACATCCTCAAACCCTGCGTGAACAGATTGGGTTTGAGGATTGGGTTTGACGCTGCTCAAACCCTCTACACAATCTGCTTTGCCTCCCTTCGTCCTCTCTCTCCCGTTTATTATTTAAAGGTAACCCTGCGTACCATCTGTCCACATGTGGCAAATAAGATCAGCTGGTTTTCAAGGATTCAATAGAACCAGCTGATCTCATGTTCCTGCGTCCCTTCTGTCCAGATGCGGCGAATGCGGCTGGCTCTGTACGAGACGCTCATCCGGCAGGATATCGCCTTCTTTGACGGCCAGTCTGTGGGCGACCTCACGTCCCGCCTCGGCTCTGACTGCCAGGCAGCTGGGTACACGATGGGCAGCGATCTCAACATCGTGCTGCGGCACTCGTTGCTCGTGGGTGGTGGGAGGGAGGGAGATCGGTGCTGGGATTGAAAGTTAGGGTGTTGGTGCTTCAGGGGTTAGGGTGAGTGTGCCTCGGCTCTGACTGCCAGGCCGCCGGGTACATGATAGGCAGCGATCTCAACATCGTGCTGCGGCACTCGCTGCTGGTGGGTGCCGTGCAGGAAGGGAGAAGGGGTGGGATATGGGTGCACTGATGAAGGCTCGTTAGGGGATGCCCTTTCAGCCGAAACATGTTTGCCCTGGGGTGCTGCTCACTGGAAATATTTCCCAAGCTGTGCAGGAAGGGGAAAGGAGTGGGATATGGGTGCTGGGTGTGGGTGGTTCAGGGGTTAGGGAGTGTGCCTTGGGTGCCAAGAGGCGGAACAACAATGAGCAGCGGTCTCAGCATCGTGCTGTGCCTGTTGCTGCTGGTGCACAGGGACGTGCGCAGGGACTGGCGCAGGGAGAGAGCGGCTGGTTCTTTGGTTTCTTTGCCTTTTGTCGATTAATTATCTCCGCCTGTTTGTCAATTGACATCGTGCTGGGCTACTCATCTTGATGTCAATTTCGTGCTGCGCCACTTGCTGCTGGTGGGGAGGGAGGGAGTGGTTGGGTAAGATTGCAGGCTGTTTGTGCCCTCATACCATTTCGTGCCCCCATCCACCATTCCACATCTTTAATTCACCATTCTTTATCCCTCATCCACCATTCCTCGTCCACCACCCCCAACCTCATCCACCACCCCCAACCTTATCCGCCACCCCACATGCATGGCCAGAGCATAGGAACGCTGGTGTTCCTCATTCGGCTCAACTGGCAAATGGCCCTCGTGACTGCGCTCCTCTGTGCCCTCATGTGGTATCTGCTCATCATCTATGGCGAGTACGTGTGGCAGACAGGCACATGCGGTTCTCCTACCAGATTGTCTTGTACTTCACTCTCTACTTTGTCTTGTACTTTACTCTCTACTTTGTCTTGTACTTTACTCTCTACTTTGTCTTGTACTTCACTCTCTACTTTGTCTTGTACTTTACTCTCTACTTTGTCTTGTACTCTGATCTCAACTCTCTGACTCCCTTCGCTTTTATACTCCTCCATTCTGCCCTCCTCCTTCACCTTTCTCTCATGCCCCCCACCCAACTCTTTGTTCTTCTCCTCTCTGGATCGTCCAGCCGAAGCGCTATGGTGATCCGATACGATTGTCCTTGCACCCTGATGCATCCATGCATCCTTGCCTCCCATCTACCCTGCTCTCCTCCTTTCTCACCCTCCCGCCAGCTTCTCCCGACTGAGCTCCATGGTACTGCAGGACAATGAGGCAGCAGCCAATGAGGTGCGACCACCTCCGTGGTGACCCAACATCTGGGTGACTCTTGATTCGTGTGGGTCACTGGCTTTGTATGCAAGTTGTGAGCCCCTGCCTCATACCTCCAACGAGAGTCTCATTCTTGGGATGCCATATCGAATCACACCCATCCGTACCCATCCGTACCCACCCGTACCCATCCGTACCCATCCGTACCCATCCATACCCGTCCACACCACCATTGATTCCACCCTCCAGGTGGCAGAGGAGACCGTCTCACTTGTCCGGGTGGTGCGGACGTTTGGCACGGAGAACGAGGAGGTGAAGAGGTGAGGTGGAGAACAAAGAGATGGAAAGGTGAGATGGAGAACAAAGAGATGGAAAGGTGAGATGGAGAACAAAGAGATGGAAAGGTGAGATGGAGAACAAAGAGATGGAAAGGTGAGATGGAGAACAAAGAGATCGAAAGGTGAGGTGGAGAACAAAGAGATGGAAAGGTGAGGTGGAGGGCGAGGAGGCTGCCAAGTGGGACGAAAGAAGGTGGCAAGCGACGCTGTCCTATGTGCAATACGTCAGGTCCCGTCTCTCCTGCAATCCATGTACTCTGGATTCCATTCCATTCCATTCCATTCCATTCCATTCCATTTCATTTCCATCCACTGGCTGCTTGAACTGCGTTTCATGTCCGCCGCCGCCGCCGCCGTCGTCGTCGTTGTCGTTGCTGTTTTTGTTTTGTTTTGTTTTTTTTCCTCCCAACAATCTCTCGATGCAATTGCGTTCGTGTCCATGTCTCACCTTGTTTTGACTTGTCTGGCCTTGCCAGGTACGACGAGCCTCTCAAGAGGCTAGTGGACGTGGGGCTGCGGCGGAGTGTGGCCAACGGTTTATGGACATGCGCTGACAACATTGTCTATAACGCCTCGCTGGTATGTGCTTTTGCACGTCGTGCATTTTGGTGCATGTGCATGGTGGTGCAGATGCATGCCATATGCTGGTGCGTGACGCATGTCACATGATGGTGCATGCATGCCACATGTCACATGATGGTGCGTGCATGCCACGTGTCACATGATGGTGCATGCATGCCACATGTCACATGATGGTGCATGCATGCCACATGTCACATGATGGTGCATGCATGCCACATGTGACATGATGGTGCGTGCATGCCACGTGTCACATGATGGTGCGTGCATGCCACGTGTCACATGATGGTGCATGCATGCCACATGTCACATGATGGTGCGTGCAACTGTGTGCCACATGCTGGAGCTTTCGCCAGCTCCTTCCTCCCCACGCCCCTCCCCGCCGCTCCCCACCTTCCAGGTGGCAGTAATCATGATTGCTGGAGGTGACTTCTGAGTCCTCTCAAACCTCGCCACCGCTCCCCACCCTGCAGGTGGCAGTAGTCATGATGGCCGGCGGGGCGCTAATGACGGGGCGCATAACAGCGGAGGAGGTGACGCAGTTTGTGATGTACGCGGACTGGATGGCGTATAACATGTGGTGCGCGGGCGAGCACTGGGCCACCCTCATGGACTCCATTGGCGCCTGCCACCGCGTGTTTCAGCTGCTGGATTTGCCGCACCCAGAGCAGCTCACACAGGGGCACGGTGAGAGTCACTGTGCCACTGAATCGTGGCTCAAGGTGATTGTGAGGTCTCACTCATTTGTGAACCAATCATGCCGCATGCTGCCTCCCTCACGTGCTGCCTCCCTGTCTCCCTCCAGGCCATGTGTTGCCATCGTTGAGGGGCAAGCTAGAGTTCCGCAATCTCTCCTTTCGCTACCCCACCCGCCCTGAGGTGCGCCCACCCGCCCTGCCTAAAGCACCATGGTGAGGTAATTGCTCTACATGACAATACCGATTGCTCTACATGTTATTGCCAGCTGCTCTCTATTCCACCTCGAACATCGACTCTGCCCTGAGGTGCGCCCCACCTTTCTTCCCTCCCTCCTTCGCTCCCGCATGCCCCCTGCAGGCTCTTGTGCTGGGGGGAACCATCCAGCCGGGCGAGCTGGTGGCACTGGTGGGGCACAACGGCAGTGGCAAGAGCACCCTCCACTAACCTCCCTCCCTCTCCCCCCCCATTCTCACCTCCTTGCAGGCTATTGTGCTGGAGGACATAGACCTCACCATCCAGCCGGGCGAGCTGGTGGCACTGGTGGGGCACAATGGCAGTGGCAAGAGCACCCTGCTCAGGCTGCTGCAGCGACTTTACGAGCCCTCGGAGGGGCGGGTGAGAGGGGCGGGTGGGGGGGGCGGGTGAGTAGGAGGGAGGTGAAGTGCATGCAGGTGCCTGTAATTTGAGGTGTATTTATGCTTGATGGTTGTGTGCATGATTCCTACTGTCCGTAACTCCTACTGCCTGCTTGTCCACAGGTGCTTATAGACGACGTGCCTCTACCAAAGGTTGACATCACTTGGCTGAGAAGCCACATTGGCGTCGTCAGCCAGGTGGGCTCGCCTCTCCCGCGCTCTCCTTTTCATCCCCTCCCAAAGTTCGCCCCCTCTCCTGCCTGCTCTCTATCCCAATCCATCCCAATTCATTCAAATCTATCCCAATCCATTATGCCTCATTCACCTGCCCCTCCTATCATGCTCGTTCTGCCCACCAAACTCCACACACACTCAGCACGGCCCACCACCCTCAACACACACTCCACGTATGGCCAAATGTCCAAGCTCATAATGGTCTACCTCCTGTACACATGTGCATGTGAGCCATTCACACAAGAGCAGTACCAACACTCACGCACTCTCCCCATTCCGCACCCTCTTCTGTATGCACCCACCCAGGAGCCTCTTTTGTTCAGCAGAGACGTGGCATCCAACATTGCATATGGAAGCACCAAGAAAGTTTCCCGGGAAGACATTGTCCGGGCAGCAACCCAGGCCAACGCGCACCAATTTATTTCCGAGCTGCCCGAGGGCTACAACACAATGGTGGACAACGCCCGGCTGAGCGGCGGGCAGAAGCAAAGGATAGCAATTGCTCGGGCTTTAGTGCGCGACCCCACTCTGCTGTTCCTGGATGAGGCCACGAGTGCTCTGGATGCTGAGAGCGAGCACTACGTGCAGGTGAGGGGTAAGGGGGTGGGGAGGAGAGTGAGCAAGCTGCTGTGAGGCCACGAGTGCCCTGGATGCTGAGAGCGAGCACTACGTGCAGGTGAAGGGGAAAGGGAAGTGATGCAGTGGAGGGGTAGGTGGGAGAATGTGCATTCTCCTACGCATAAGACGCACATGATGCGTAGGAGATGGGATGGGAGAGCGCATGAGCGTCGGGTGTGAGAGTGGGCGTTGGACTAAGGGGTTTTCCTCTCAGCCCATCAGACGCTCATTTGGCCTCCCCGTGCAATGAAATGATGTGATACAGAGGAAGCAATGCTGATTTCATCTCTGTGTGAGTGAGGTGCTTGCCCTCACTGCCTGCCATCTGTTGCTCCCATCCCATCAACCCTTGCTGCCCCCTCATTCCATTCCACCAGGCTGCTGCTTTCATGAGCCATAGCTGCTGCGCTCTCTGTCTGTTGAGTTGCATTCGATTTCGTTGGCTCTCACGTGTTTTCATGCAGATGGCATTGAACCAAGTTATTTATAAAGACTCACATGCAAGTGGACACAGAAGGCGAACCAGAGTGGTCATTGCACATCGGTATGTTGTGGCAAGCCATGCATCTCCTCTCCATCAGTTAGTACTCAACACGTGCATGCTTGTTACGGTGTGCCACGCTCCTCAACACACGCTACCCGCTCTCATTCTTGCAGTTGGCTTTCTTTCGTTCTATCTCCACTTTGATCCCTCACATTGACACTGCTTATCGCCCATTACCAGGTTGTCCACCATCCGTTCTGCTGATAGAATTGTGGTTCTATCTCATGGAAAGATAATCGAGGTGAGTCGATCACTTTTTCATACTTACGTCCGGTGCATTTGTCCAGCCAACCTGCGTTGCTCATTGGAATGTTCCTTTCTACTGGTTCGTGCTTTCAGGTTGGCACACATGATCAGCTGCTGGAGCGAAAGGGGGCATATATGGAATTGCACTCACGTCAAAACAAAGCCCGTGAAGCCCAATCAATGTAGACATGCAACCTGTGTTTCCAACAAGCTTGTAGTGTGAGCATATTGCTGTAATTTTCGAGTTTTTTTGTTGCTCTGGTTCAGAGGCGAGATTATAAATTTACATATATACATGCATATACATATAGCTAGTTATTAATATTATCACTTCTATGATGAATAATATTACTGCGGTTCTATATGTTCTTTGTGTATAAAACAATATATTGAAGTGTGCCATAGAAACCATAATCTCATTCAACTGGTCATCATTCAAAAGGAAGGTGCCATTTTGAACAAGTGTTTGTTTCACTTCTTCTATGTAAAGTAGCTGCCAGAACCAGTCGGTATGCTCTACAGAAACATGTAGCGGAGACCATTCTCGAGTTCTGCTGCTTGAAATCTCGATTGCTGCTGTGAATTTGTTGGCTTCGGAAAGCTTTGCAGGAACGACAAGCTATGGTAGGAGCTTTGTGCGAAAGCTAGTTCCCGTTTCTAGTTCCCGTTTCGCGCTCCCTCCAGTGGGTTATTAGCTTCCGTGCGAACTGACGTGCGGTTTTTGTGAATACTTTGTCGTTTGTTCCGATCAGGATCCAAGCATGTCCCTCCCGCATCTTGAGGCTCCTCGCGATGTGCTGCGATCTGGTCTCCATCAGCTCCGCGACGAAGTGTCTCTTGCTCATCCAGTAGAAGAAATTCAGAGACAGGTGCGGGATATGTGTGATTCTGTGTCTTGTGGTGACATGTTTAATTTAGTGTCTTGCGGTGAGTGTCCAGGAATATTTTTCGCTCACGGTGTTCGCCTCCTTGTGTTCTATCTACCCACATATGGCTACCCTGAACACTCCAGTTTCCAGGTCTATAAGAGATTTTCTTTTATAGCAATCATGGCCGTTATGGCATGCTGGTTCGACGACCCGTTCCCTTGAATCTTTGGTCATACCATTTGTTGTGAATTCAAGTTGGTCGTGTTAACGCTAGAGAGGAACCTTTCGAAAGTTGTGGCTATGTATTGATAACTTCCCTGACAATTTTCAGTCGTTTTATCCTCTTCTTTCAGAGAAGGAAGGAGCACGAGGGAACCGTTGACATGAACTTGGGTAGAGTCTATGGTTCAGCCTTCCCTGCTCAGCTGCACATGGAGCGACAAATACTTTCCAAGTAAGGGCTGATCAATGTCCCGGAAATGAATCGTTAAGGCTGCTGGCGTTGGTGTCTCGCTGGTGACATGGTAATGTCCATTCTGCACTGGTTCATGTTTTTTTTTTTTCCACTTCTGTGTCCTCAGATTCAAGAGGTTGCCTGGTCTGCCATCATCCCACCTGGGCCTACATTCAATGATGGGTACTCTTGATGAGCTTGCAGTGGAGGATGTGGTTGGTGAGTGGTTCCCGGTGCATTCCCTTAACCTGCTAGAGTTTCCAGCCAATGTACCGTGAGCCATCGCATATATGGCAATCCTTCTGATTTGACCCTGGTTTACTTTACTAATGTTTTGTTTGATTTTGCAGGATATGGAGATAAGGTTGAAATTCCCCGTGTGGACTTGCATGAGATAATGGAATACAAGCTTGGCCTGTAGCAACTCCTTTACCATACTGGTACACAACAATGAGAATATGTTTGTACTATTGCCAACCCAACCCAACCCCCACAGCCGCCATCATTTGGGCAGGTCACTTCACTTGCCCCCTGTCACTGACAAAACACCAATCCGTACAGTGTACTGTTCTTGTTGGGAGCGTGTTTCTGATAGCCTCGAACTCGTAAGGGCGCGTGACTTTATACAGTAAAGTTAAAAAAAGGGGTCGAACTTTTGCTGGTAACCTGTTTCGTGAATGTCGCAAAACTACTCGCTAGGAAATCGTGTGTACTAGTTTAAACTGTGTGAAAGAAGTTGGACACTGAACTGGAGTCGACCTGCGTTCGAAAGTCTGCATTTACATTTATCCAATCGTGTGTCCTTCGTCGCACGCACGAAACTTCACGAATTTCCCAACACTGACGACTTACATCGTAACAGGTTACTGAAGCCGGATACGGTCACGAACTGCGCCGCCCAACCGGGTAACCTAAGAAAGTTTAGCACGACTCGATAGTTACTGTTTAAAGTTGAACTTCGATTCTCGAACTCTTGTGTGCCTTGTCATACATGTGAAGCGAGGAACAGCGACTAGAGCAAAATGAATCTACGTTGTCGAGCCTAGGTCGACGTAGGTTCAAATGGTCGAAGTTCGACTAAAAAAACGAGTTTTGCAAAACACTGTATAAAGTCACGCGCCCTAAGCATTCGCAAAATGTCTCACAGGTTTCTAACTCAAAGCAGTTAGGCGCTCGCTGGCGTGGCTCGATTCTTGGACTCCGAGCCTTGGCATCAGTGGGACGTTGTCAGGAGGAAGCAGACGTTAAGCTGTAAAGATAAATTTTATTTTTCCTCTCGTCAACATCTCGATCAAATTGCGGTTGAGAAAGAAGACCATCTTAGACGATTCGCCATGGCTTACGACAGCACCGTTTTTCCATCATGTCTCTGTCACGGCATCAGCACGCCTGCTGAGAGCTGTTAATACTCGTACTACTAGCAGCAACCACTGTTAGGTGTCGTGACAGAAGCCAACATCATGGACTCGCCGCAGCTTCAGTTGCATGCACCAACCAAGGCGCCCGGCCCTGACGAACGGCTTTTGCCACGTGGCATCACCGAAGCGGCCGTCATCAGTATCGACCAATTGCCCCAGGCGGAGCTTGCGCGGTTGAGCCAAGGCGCACTGACCGGCCTCCCCGTGCTGGCGTCGTTTCGCGCGGAAGACTGGGACCTGGAGCAGGGGGAACCGCGCGAGGCTCAGGGCGCAAGCGCGGAAGAACCCGGGGGGGATCGGTCAGGCGCTGTAGTAGCAGGCGTCGGTGATTCAGGCGGCCTTGGGATTGACGCGCTTTCAGCAACAGCGAGAGCAGGCTCAGATGATCCACGGGGGAGGGAGGAGGTCACCGAGGGTAACAGAGAAGTGGGTCGCAGACAGGAGGACGGAGAGGAGGTTGCCAGGGCCAGTAGAGAGCGAGGCGATCACGAAAAACATTCGTCAAGTGATGACGAAGGGAGCAGTTCAGGGGAGGACGAGGGTGGGACAATCCATTCCGACTCAGACACCACGGACCCCTTGTATACCTCACACCCAGCCTCCACATGCTCTTCCGAGGCCATCATAGCATGCTTTGTGCACGGGGGCGATCGGCCGCTCTGGCCCTTCTGTGTGGACGCGCGGCGGCTGTGGTGGTACTGGCGCGCGCTGCTGCTGCTGCTGGTGGCGCTGGTGGTATTCGGTGGATCGTTGGGCATGGCATGGCTGGGCAAGATCGGGGACGCGCTGCTCGTGCCCTGCCCCGTCTGGCCCACGTCTGGCCTCGCGCTCTACGCTGTGCTCGTGAGCCTAGCTATCCTATCCCTATTCCTTCAACCCTACGCGTGCACCAAGTCCTTGCAAACCTATCCTTGCATGCCCCTGGTGTTTCAGAATCCCGTTTCCTTTTCCTTCACGAGCCAATCCTTCCACTCCCCCCCAACCCTCCCCCCTCCATTAGGTGTTCGGCATGGGCACATGGCCGGGCATATTCCTGGGTGGCGCACTCCTCGTGTACACTGGAGCCGCATGGCACCTCTCTGAACACCTCTCCACTGTGCAGATCGCCCTCGCATCCCTCACAATCGCAGCCTTCCTCACAGCCTCCGTGCTCTGCCTCTCCTTCTTCCTCACGCGCGTGCTGCACCGCCTACGCCCCCACGATCTCACCCCTCTGGACCGAGTCAAAGACATCTTCCTCTTCGCCCTCTTCTCCTTCCTGGTCTCCCTGCTGTTCGAAGGCCTCGTCGCCGTCGTAGTCAGCGCGTGGGATGCTGACCTGGCAGGTGACAGCGTGGCAGTGGCAGCAGGGCTAAGAACGCTTGGGTCGTTCACAGGGATCATGCTGACTGTGCCGCTGCTCCTGCAGCTCACTGCCTCCTGCCTGTGCTGCTGCGCTCGGCAGCCTGGGCAGGAGGGGGAGGAGGGGAAAGAGGGGCAGGAGAAGGAGGGCAAGGAGGGGACGCCGGAGCAGGAAGGGAAGCCGGGGCAGGAGCTGCAGGAGGAGGGGATGAGCGTCGCTGCTGAATCACCCCGATCCGAAGCAGAGTCTCACTATGCATCTGCCACGCGTCTCCAGCCACCCCTGGGCGAGCAGCACGGGCGACGGCCTGTAAACCTGGCCGCAGTAGGTGTGGGAAGTGAGGCAGATTTGGAGTCTGTGGAAGACACGGTAGGCAGCAGCGCTAGGCTCCACACCCCCCCCTCCTTCCGCACTCTGCCCTTCCCCTCCCACCTCCCCTCCCACCCCCCCCACTCCAACCCCAACTATTTATCCATCCGCCGCCCCGTCCATTACCACCTGAAAAAACTCCTGAGGAACCCCCTGGTGGTCAGCATCCGGGACACTCTTTCCTCCCTGCGCTTCTGGGAGTTCATCTTTCTGCTGCTGCTCAATGCTGCCACGGCCTGTCTCATCTTCTCCACCCCTGCAGCCCCCACTACTTCCTCCTCCACCAATCCTGTCCCTGCTGCTACTGCTGCCACTGCTGCCCTCCCATATCTGCTCTTCCCGGGGGTCCTCTGGGCTTGCATTCGCTTCCACCGCAAGGGCTCGGGCCTCGTACTCGTTATAGTCGTCCTCATTGTGTGCTTCTGCACGGCGCAGGGGCGCGGGCCGCTGGTTCGGGAGACGGCGAGTGGGACGGTGCTGCAGGTGCAGGTGCTGGTGCTTGTGCTGAGCTTGGGCGCTGTGCTGCTCGCGGCTGCTGTGAGGGACACACGGCGCCTGCGAGAGGGGCTGAGGCAGCTGAACATGTCGCTGGAAGAGGAGGTGGCGAGACGCACAGAGCAGATGCAGGCAGTTAACGAGGTGAGGAAGGGGGAGGGGATGAGGTGCAGGGAGGCAGCTGTGAATCATGCTTGAAGGGCTGAGGCAGCCCTGCACGAGCAGCTGTGAAGCTTGAACCGAGAAGATGCAGGTGCTCAATGAGGTTGAGGGGGGAGGACGCGGGGAATGTGCTAGACCCCCAACTGGCAGAGCATTGAACACTCACCCTGGCTTGTCCGTTAACCGCGCTGGCCCTGCCTCTGCTTTACTGATGCTCCTTCGTTTCCCCGCTCCTCCTCTCTCCGTCCCTCCTCCGTCCCTCCCTCCATCCCTCCGTCCGTCCGTCCCTCCCTCCCTGTGTGCGTGTGTGCAGGATCTGAAGAGGTCCAAGGAGGAGTTGGAGGAGGCGGGGCGCGCCAAGACGGAGTTCCTCGCCAACATGAGCCATGAGATCCGGTACGAGAATGTGCACCGCCCCGCAGTCCCATCCATACACTGACTGTAGGTTTTCTCCACCAGTGTCCTCATATCCCTGCACCAGCCATGCACCAGCCATGCACCAGCCATGCACCAGCCATGCACCAGCCCTGCACCAGCCCTGCACCAGCCCTGCACCAGCCCTGCACCAGCCCTGCACCAGCCCTGCACCAGCCCTGCACCAGCCCTGCACCAGCCCTGCACCAGCCCTGCACCTCACACATTCCACTCTCTTAACTAAACCTACCCTTGCCCGTCTTCCCCTTTTTCCTTTCTGCCGCCCTCCCATCCCCCACCGCAGCACGCCCATCCACGGCATCATCGGCATGACAGCACTGGCTCTAGACGCCCTAGAGTCGCTCCACGATCCCCACGACCCCCACGACCTCACCACACACCCTTCCTCTGACGCGCTGGCGCTGCGGAACGATCTGACGGTGGAGCTGCACGAGCATCTGACGGTCGTGGCGCAGTCTGCCGACTGCCTGCTGAACATTGCCAACACAGTGTTGGACCTGGCGAGGATAGAGGCGGGGCAGCTGGCACTCGATAAAGTGCCCTTCGCGTTGAGAGATGTGGTGGGGTCTACCATGCGCATGCTGCAGGTGAGTGAGGTGTAGCTGTGAGGCACGTGGTGGGTGGGGTGGGGTACTGTGCACAGTTCATGCCTTGTGCAAGTAATGCCATATTGCTGTCGCTGGAGCTCCCATCCCTCCACCACACCGCCCTGCCCCACACCCCCCCACAGGTGCGCGCGGAGCAGAAGCAGCTGCTGTTTTCATGGCAGGTGGCGGAGGGGGTGCCTCAAACAGTGGTGGGGGACCCAGGCAGGCTGCAGCAGTGCATCATCAACCTCGGTAATTCTTGAAGGGGTTTTGACTGATTTTTTTTTTTTTTTTTTTTTTTTTTTTTGCCTTATTGAGCCCCATGTTATCATAGTTGCCAGTCTGTTCAGTGGGTTTGGTGATTTTTATTCTTGTTACTACTTTGTTTGGAGCAGCATGTGCAGCAGTGCCTGTTTACTCACGATCTGCCTCTTTTTATATATCCTGGTGTGGTCTGCGTTGGGCACGCATGGAACGACATGGCATGGCATGACGTGCTATGGCAGTGGGCAATGCAATAAAGTTCACCCACCAAGGGTCAGTGGACCTCGAGATTACTCTGCTCTTCCGCCCGCCCTCTCGCACGCGGCACCACGGTAGAAGCGCGGGCAGCAGTCAGCAGCAGGCGCGGAGCAGCAACAGCAGCAGCATGCACCACAAGGCACGCAGCAGCAACAGCGGTAGCCACCACCACACGCACCAACAGCACCAGCACCACCACCAGCGGCAGCGAGAGCAAGAGCAGCAGCACAAGGAGCAAGATCAAGAGAAGCAAGAGCAAGAGCAGCATGAACCCCATCATTCTAACGAGCAGCAGCAGTTGCAATACTCACCTCTGTACGTCCCTCGAGCTGCCACCTGCCCTCCTTCCTCCTCCCCTCCACACTCCCCTCCGCTCACCCCTCCCCCCTCTCGGGAAGGCCCAGAAGGAACCCTGTCTGCTCGTCTCTCTGACCCCTTCCCCTCAGCAATCCCTGCCCACCATAGAAGTAGCAACCTCCCCAACACCAACTCTGACCCTAGGGCTAACACCAACGGCAACACCTATCCGTTCGCTAACCCTGGTATTAACACCAACGTGTTTGTTCCCACGGAGGTTTCTCGTGCTCTCAGGCAGCGACTGCTGGAGCAAGGTAATGCAGGGGCAGGGAGCAACCTCCATCCGCAGGCTGATGCGGAGGCAGGGCCTTGCAGAGAGAGAGGGCATGAGGCAGTCAGTGATGGGAAGGAGCGAGTAGGCAAGACGGGGAGGCACGGGCACAGGCACCGACAGGGGAATGGTCATGCGGGGAGGAGCTCAGGGAGAGAGAGAGGGGATTGGGAAGGAGGAGGAGGAGGAGGAGGAGGAGGAGGAGGAGGAGGAGGAGGAGGAGGAGGAGGAGGAGGAGGAGGAGGAGGAGGAGGAGGAGGAGGAGGAGGAGAGGGGAGAGAGTGTGTTCTGGGCCAGAGGGGGTGGGAGAGGGGTTGGGGAGAGCGGAGGGCAGGGGCGAAGGGAGCAGGAGGGAAGCGGGGAGGAGTGTGAGTGAATTTCAAAGTGGTAGAAGCGATGCTGCTTGGTATTCAGACTCTTCTGCTCGTCCAGTAGCTAGAGCGACTCGTGCAAGCCTGGTTAGGTCTGGAAGCGAACAAGTCAAGCTGTTTGGTCCGGGATGGAGGAGCGGGAGGAGACGACCAGGCGCACACGAGCAGAGTATCGATGGGGTGGGGGTGTCTCAGGGGGGGTGGTCTGACACTGGTGATTCAGACACGAGTGACAGGGACGCTGCAGCGAGGGCTAGACAGACGCTGGACTCCTTTCGAGCCCAGCTGCTCTCTACCAGCCAGCAGCCAAAGCCTGAGGGTTCCTCTCTTCCTGCTGGCCATCGCAGGCGCAGGAGCAGAGAGAGCAGACGGAGCAGGGGGAGCAAGGGGGGGGGGAAAGCAGTGAGAGCGGCAGCAGCGGCGGCGGCGGCAGCAGCAGCTCGGATGAAAACAATAACAACGATATCCATACTCAGGCTGATGACGACGATGATGACATCACACCTCGAGCGGTGATCAGCAGCAGCAGCAGCTGTCTGCGCACCATCGGGCGGATAGCAGCAGCAGGGCTTGTCTCCTCCTCCTACCCGTCCCTCCCCTCGAACTCCGCCCATCGCGCAGCAGAGCGGCCCCTGTTGGGCCCCAAGTACCAGGAGAGGGGGATTCGAGCTCAGGGGGAGAAGAGGTGCTGGGGAGTGTGATGAGCGCGAGGGGCACGCAGCGATCTGCTACTGAGGGCTCACCTGGGGGTCTGGGGTTGTGGGTTCTGCACGGAAGGGCGGGTCTGGGGTGCTGGGCTCCGCACTCAAAGGTGGAAGCGGTGGTGGGTTTGCTTCTGCTGCAGCTGCTGGTGGGTCTGCTGCTGGTGGTGGCGGTGGGTCTGCTGGTGGTGGTGGTGGGTCTGGTGGAACAGGGGAAAAGTCTAGAGGGATTTCAGGCAGTGAATCTCGATCCGGGTCCAGGAGTGTGTCAAGAAGAGGGTCGAGAACCAACCTTGCCGTGTGGTTTGCTGATGCTGCCGGTGGGGACAGTGAGACAGAGAGACGCGTGGCGAGTGGGTCCTCTGCTGCAGCAGCACCTGAAGATTCACCTGAGGCTGCATCTGGGGTTTCACCTAAGGAGATGGCAGGTGGGGCTGCCAGTGGTGCCTGTGTGAGGTCAGGGGACCGGGAAGGAGCAGGGGAGGGACGGGCGGAGGGCGAGGGCACAGGGACTCTGAGGAGAAAAGGCAGCGAAGGATCAGGAGCCTTCAAGTCAAGCGCAGAGCTGCAGTGGTCAGACCTTGGCAGTGCGTTTGTGAGGAGGGAGGGCGCAGAGGCAGGCAGCAAGGCGGCAGCAGGGAAGAAGGTCCGAAGCCCCCCCTCTCCTCCAAGGTCCCTGATGATGCAAGCTCGGGGGGGCGAGGGGGGGAGCGGATGGGATTTTCCATCAGTACTGCTGCAGCAGCAGGGGGCGCCCAGGCAGCGCCTGCACCAGTTGCAGCCTTCCCCCGGGCTGTTTCAGGGGGGGTCCAGGACAAGCCCGGGGCGAATATTTTCAGCATGGGGTCGCTGAGGAGCCAACCCAGCAATGCCTCTTCTGTCTTCAGCCGCAGTAGCAGCACCCGCTCCCGTGCCTTAGTCCCAGACTCGCTCGTTGCTGCTTCCGAGCCTGCTATGTATGTCCCTGCCTCTGACCCGTCCATGCTTATCCCTGCCTCTGACCCTGCGCTAAGAAGCCGGCCAGATCACGCTTATGTAAGCGTCAGTGGGAGCGCTGGCGCAATTGTAGGCAGGAGTGAGCGGATGGGGGGGGAAGCGGCCGCACGACCGATTAGCAGAGGGGGGTTGGGGAGGAGCAGGAGGAGGAGGGGCAGTGGGCGGGAGGGCGACACGGTGGGATCGAGTATGGGCTCTGGCATGTGGGGCATGTTCAGCCGGCGAATGGATAGTGGTTGGTCGGGTCATAGCGGGGAGTCTGGGAGGAGAGCAGGTGGGTCGGGGAGGCGGGCCGGGAGAGGGGGAGGCAGAGAGGAGGAGCAGGTGGAAGGGGAATTGGAAGAGGAGGAGGAGAAGGAAGTGTGGATCCTGGTATCGGTGAAGGACACGGGGATTGGCATCAGTGCGGAGAAGCAGGGGGAGATTTTCCACAACTTCGTGCAGGCAGACACATCGTACACGCGCGACTATGGGGGAATAGGGCTCGGGCTCAGCATCGTGCAGAGGTGAGTGGAGTGCAACCGCAACAAGCATGGCTTCTCTCTGATGTGCACCTGACATCACGTCTCTCCACCCCTTTCTGCCTCTCTCTGCCTCACTGTTTCCCTGGCCCCCTGTTCTCCCCATTCCCCCGCCCAACAGTCTGGTGCACATGATGGGCGGGGAGGTGTGGGTGGAGAGCGACCTGGGCAAGGGCTCAACATTCTTCTTCACAGCCCGCCTCGAAACCGCCCCTCCCGGCACCACCACTCCCGCACACCCCCCCCAGGCCTTCGACTCGTCAGCTCCTCCTTCCCTCGCCGCCTCCTCCTCTCTCTATGCCGTTTCTTCTGAACTTCCCCCGGGGTTTCCCCTCGCTGGATACGGGGCCGAGATCGCTCGGTTCGACTCCTCCGTGAGCATGTCAGATCACGGAGCTTACAACGAGTATGTTTTGCTACAAGCAGGAGCCTCGGCGGAACACACGCCTGCTCGGTCGGTGTATGCTTCAGCCCGGTCGGGATACACTACAGAATACGCCACTGCTCCTCAGTCCCCTCTAGACTCCTCCCCTGAAAGCCCCCCTCTCGTCCCTGCCTTGCCTCCCTCTCACTACCCTAGTGCCCACTACCCCAGCACCAGCCCTGCCACCATGCCTCTTCCTCTCTCCCTCTCCTCCGATTCTACCCAATCCGCACCCCCTTTTGCTGCTGCTGCTGCTTCTGCTGCTGCTGGGGCGATTGCTCCTTCTCCCATCCCTGCTGCTGCTCCCTCTGCTGCGTCCTCTCCAGTAATCCACCAGTCAAACCACACTCCACCCCCGCGCACCCCTCGCTCACTTGTCCGCGTACAGACCCCCGCGCCCTTGCTCACAGCAGCATCTCTTCCCACTACCACTGCCAGGGCAGGCAGTAGGGTGCGAGCAGAAGAGGGGGAGAGTGATGATGGTGGTGTGAGGAGTGGAGGGGAGAGTGGGCAAGGAAGTGCAGGCGGGAGGGGGGGGCTGTTCATCCCTCCCTCCGTCACACTCCCTCCCACCCTCGCCATCCCCAGCCCTCGCCCCTTCCCAACCTCCGCTTCCGAAGGCCGGCCCCCTTCAGCACGTTCGGCGTACTTCTCAGGCCCGGTGCTAGGCTCGGGAGGAGCAGCAGCAGCCACAGTGCGCCCGAGCCTGCAAACCATCCCTGCGGACGCGTCATCTCCGAGCCTGCCATCTCCGAAGCTGCTATCACCAACGTGGTGGCACTCCAACAAGCTGCCATCGCCCACAGGGAGCAGAGAGGGCGCAGCAGGGTCACATGCTGCTGCTGCTCCTGCTGGCTTTGCTGTTGCGCCGCTGTCCACGCCCTCCCCCCGTGCCCGCCGCATCTGGAGAGACCTAGAGGATCCCTCTCCCCGTGCTGCCGCTGCTTTTGCTGCTGCTGCTCCCTTCTCCCCTCGCACGCCACGAGGGTGGGGGGTGGCCAGGGGGAAAGGGGTTACAGGGAGTGGTGGGTGGGGGGCGAGCGGAGGGGAAAGTGGGGGAGGCATTGGGGGAGGCAGTGGGGAAGGCAGTGGGGGAGGCAGTTTGGGAGGCAGTAGGGGAGGCAGCTTGGGGGGAGTGTGCCGGGGATAAGGGTTGTTGAGGGGAGTGTTCTAGTGCCTGGTAGTGGAGTTGTTTTGGCAGTGAAGTCAGGAGAAGAAGGGGGATCAAACAGGAAAGCTGAAGCAAGGGCTGGAGCAGAGGCAGCTGAGGCAAGAGAAACTGCAGAAGTAACTGTGACCATGGCAGCTTCAGGTGCAACAGCAGGCGTAACAGAAGGTGCTGCAGCAATTGGAGGAAGAGCAGAGGAGCTGGCAGAAGCAGAGGGCAGAAGCACGCCCACACTCTCAGACACTTCTTCGATCGATGGGAATATCCCTCCCTCCCCAGCAGCAGTGGCAAGAGGCAAGTCAGTGGCGGCACGGTCAGCAGCAGCGCAAGCGTTCTCACGGGATGTGAGCCTCTCAGGGGGATTGCAGGATCCCCTGGCTCGTCCCGCCGCCACCTCTCCCCTCCCCTCTCCAAACTCGCCTCTGAATCCTCTCGCTCTCTCTTTTCTCCAAATCTCGCCCGCCCTAGTGCCATGTCTCCAGACCAGGCCTCATCTCCCGAGCCTGCGCAATCAGGCTCGGCAGCGTCGGTTGGAGACATGCAGCTGATAGACGATTGGGGCTTTCTCGCTCCCGGACCTGCCACGGTTCGGGCTACGAATTTTTCTCCAGCTGCCAGACCGCTTGCTGCAGCGCTACCTGCCCGGCGGGGGCATGCAAGCCACGTCAGCATGGACGAAAGGTCGACGACGAGTTTCCGGTCCTCTCGGCCCAGCTCTGGTAGCGTGGCCACTGGGAGCAGTGGGGATGTCGATGCTGTTGATCTCGATGCTCTGACAGCTACTGTCAACGTCGCTTCTGCTTCTTCTCCTGCTGCTGCCTCTGCTGCTGCTGGTGCTGCTGCTGCTGCTGGTGCTGCTGCTGCTGCTGGTGCTGCTGCTGGTGGTGGTGCTGCTGGTGGTGGTGCTGCTGCTGGTGCTGCTGCTGCTGGTGGTGCTGCTGCTGGTGGTGCTGCTGCTGCTGGTGGTGCTGCTGCTGGTGGTGCTGCTGCTGCTGGTGGTGCTGCTGCTGGTGGTGGTGGTGGTGCTGCTGCTGCTGCTGCTGCTGGGAGTGTTGGGGCTGGAGCTTCTTTTAACACCGCTGCTTCTGCTTCTGCTGCTGCACCACCTTACAGCCTCATTGATGCTGCACCTGCCAATCCAGCAGGCATGGCGGTAGGCTTGGGAGCAATGCCAGGCACGTCTTGGGATGACTCCAGAGCAGCGGCTTCAGCCCTCCGAACCTCAGCCCCAGGTCTGGCAAGCATGAGAGGCAGCAAGTCCGGAGGCAGCTACGAGCCTGCAGCAGCTGCGGCAGTGACAGCCTTGGAAGGAGAGAGTCTCACCAGTAGCAGCACCTCCAGAGGAGGCGATGCCACTCTAACTGGTGCATCATTCACCGGGACCTCTGCCACTCGTTCTCTTGCAACGGCGCTCTCTCTGCCGCTTCATTCCTCCTCCCATGCACGCCCCTCCGTCTCACTTGCTGCACTAGTGCTACAGCGGAGCCCGTCCAAGAAGGACCCTGCTCTCCCCTTGCCCCCTCCTGCTCGCAAACGCCCGCTGTCCCTCTCCGCTGCTCCTGACGCCCCTGCTGCCTCTGCTGCTGCTCCGTCTGCTTCTCCCACTGCTTCTGCTCCCACTGCTCCCACTACCACTGCTTCCTCTGCCGCTGCTACCTCTACGACTGGCTCGAGTAACGCAACTTTAGACGCCCCTCTCTCCACATCCCCAGCAGCACCCAAATCCCCCCCTCTCGCTCCCCTCACCACCCCTCCCCCTTCAACCTCGCTCGCTCCTCTCCTTCCCCCCATGTTCCCTGGAGCCTTCCCTCACTCCCCCTGGCTGGGCCGGTCGCGATCGTATAGAGGCATGACTGCAGCAGAGAGAGAAGCACTGACCGCAGCAGCAGCTGTGACCGCAGCAGCAGCACCAGGTGGTTTCTCAGGTGTGAGCCACGGGTTCTCAGGTGGTTTATCAGGTGGGCACTACCACCCGCTGCTGGGGCCTCTGCCTGAGCAGCAGGCGCCTGCTGGTGCTGAGATTGTGTCAGACCCTGTGCTCTTCCAGCCAACCCCCCAGCAGAAGCAGCGGCAGATTCTGCTCCTGCAGCAGCAGAAGCTGCAGCACCTGAGGCGACAGCAGCAGCAGCAACACGGGCAGAACAAGCAGGACCCACAGCAGCAGCAGCTGCAGCAGCTTCAACACCAGCAGCAGCAGCAGCAGCAGCAGCAGCAGCAGCAGCAGCAGCAGCAGCAGCAGGAGGCGTGGCAGCGGCAGCAGATGCAGGAGCTTGAGCTGCGAAGCCGAGTGTCGTCGCAGTTCTACCGCTTCCCCCCGCCGCATCTCGCCTCTCTCTGGCAACTTCCCCCCGGCGTCTGGAGCATCGGCGCTCCGACCCCGGTCTGCTGCTGCTGCACCTCGCTGCTGTGGAGTCTGCTTCAGCTTTGCAGCGAGGGGAGGTGGCGACTGGGGGAGGTGAGGCTGCGGGGAAGAGAGAGGGAGGTTTGGGGGCGGAAGCTGGGAGAGAAGGTGGGGCAGCAGGTATGGCAAGAGCAGCAAAGGGCTCTGCGGCTGCTGCTGCCGCTGGTGCGAGTGTTACTGGTAAGGAAGCTGCTGCTGGTGCTGCTGCTGGCCGGACCAAGGCGTTTAGGTTCGTCTCACACACCAGGGCTGCCTCGTACGGCCGAACCTCCACATCAGGTTTAGGAGTGTTGGGTCCAGCAGCACCAAAAGACCCACCATTGTTCGTCCCACCACCAGCGGCAGCAACAGCAGCATCAGCATCAGCAGGAGTGGCAAACGCAGCTGCTTCCCCTTGTGCCCAAGCGTCACTCCCATCTGCCCCCCTCCGCTCTGTCCGCTCACTGCCTGTGAAGCCCAAGCCTGGTCTCCTCCAGGGACCGCCCTTCCCGCTGTCTGGCCCCTCTGTTTCAACCCAGAAGGCACAGCAGCAGGCACAGCAGCAGGCACAGCAGCAGGCTCAGCAGGCACAGCAGCAGGCTCAGCAGGCACAGCAGCAGGCTCAGCAGGCACAGCAGCAGGCCCAGCAGCAGGCTCAGCAGCAGGCTCAGCAGCAGGCTCAGCAGCAGGCACAGCAGCAGGCTCAGCAACCGCATAAGGCCACCGCCAGCTCAGCCTTGCCAGCTCAGCCATCCATGCATCCACATCAGCAATCTGCTTCTCCACCTGCCAGGTTGGAGCTGCAGGGTGCTCCCCAGGTGCGTCAAGCAGCAGCAGCAGCAACAGCAGCCCCCAGAGAGGTGCGATCAAGGCAAGGAGCTGATGCTGCAGCAGGTAGAGGTGGGCCTGCTGACACAATCAAGGCCAAGGGCTTAGACCCTGGGAGTATGGGCAAGCAAGTGGACCCTGAAAGGGTCAGCCTGGAAGGGTCAGAGTCAGGTACAGGTGCAAGCTCTGGGCGGCCCTCGTGCTCCTCCACCTCCTCCTCTTCGCTCTTTTCCACCTCAAGTTCTACCACTACCACTTCCACTGCCACTACCATTGCTACTGCCACCACCACTGCTAGCACCAGCAGCACTGGCAGTGGAAGTGGTGCTACTGGAGGTGCTGGTGGTGCTGGTGGTGCTGCGGGGGGCATCGGGGTTTCTCCGCCGCTGGTGTCAATCGTACAGGCGCCACAGGGCAAGCCAGCAGCAGAATCCTCACCGTCAATACCACTAGCAGCAGCATCTACAACAGCAGCAGCAGCAGCATCTAGAGTAGCGCCAGCAGCGTCCATAGCACCAGCAGCAGTAGCGCGGGTGCGCATGCCAGTAAAGTCCATGTCTGGCCCTCTAATGCCCTCCAGCCGGGCACGGGGCCCGCTCTTACTGGCAGGAGTGCGTGTGCTGCTGGCAGAGGACAACATGGTCAACCAGCGCGTGGCCAAGCATGCTCTCACCAAGGTGGGCGCGTCCGTGGAGATTGCTGGCAACGGACAGCTGGCGCTCACTGCCGTTGAAGAGCGGGTGGCGTCGTTCGACGTCATTCTGATGGATATTCAGGTGAGGGAGGGTGTGGGTGATGGGTGGAGTGGAGTTGGGGAGGTGCTTGTGTTGTGAATGGTGCCGGTCACGTCATTGATCATTGCTCTCCTTCTCTTTCTTTCCTTCTGCCTACCTGCCACCACCATTTCATCTATTATTCCTCTGCACAGATGCCTGTCATGGATGGCTTGGAGGCAACAAAAAGAATACGGCAATTTGAATCGGGTAATGCTGGCAATATAAGGTCCCCACAAGCAAGAGGGATTCCTATTTTGGGATTGACAGCACATGCCATGGCAGGGTATAAAGAGCAGTGCTATGAAGCGGGGATGGATGGCTATGCAGTGAAGCCATTCAAAATAGAGCAACTGTCAAGAGGAATCCAAGCAGTTCTCAAAGGGGAAAAGAATGTGGATGTCACACATATGTGAATTTAAGTTATTTGAAGTATCTGCTCAAAGCTTTTAGAGGTCTCATCAAAACTGCATTTTGGGTTCGTGTGGTCCTGTTTCTCACGAATGGGGATGCCAACTGCCGCTACGCGACAGCGCTTGTCCCAACTGTGGCTTTTCCAACGTCGAAATCCCTCGATACAAGTAAAATTCCACCCAGTCTCGAGGGGAGCCGTTTTGATTCTGTTTCTCGAAACTGTCACAAAGTTTCGGGAATTACGCGAGTCGAGACAAGTACAGTAGTATTTCTCTCCCCTTCCCTCACCATACTACCACCACCACCCCATTCCGCTGCATCAGCTCGGATCTTCTCTGCTTCGCTCCCTCCTAGATTCTGTGTGACGCTGGCGCCGTAGGTGGGCATCTCTCCGTTTCTCCCGCTTGTGTCCCATCCAATGGACGACGACGAGCCTGTCCCGCAGCTGCTGCGATGTGAGGCTGTGCGACCCCGCAAGCCGTCGCAGGACTTTCAAGCGACGGAAGTCCTTGCGACGAACAGTCGAACATCGGTGTCGCCAGAGTCGCCGACCCTCTCCGACGGCGAAAATCACGAGCTCGCATCAATGCCTTCCGCCGTCACCGGATGGTTTGGCCCCGCGCAGGTCCGCGCAAGGATCGCTCCGTCACCCGCTTCCGCCAGGATGGGGGAAAAAGCGGGGGGAGCGGGGGCCGCAGCTGGCAGCGGTGCGAGCGATTCACGCGGTTTCAACCGCTCGTTGTCGCAGCCGGCACGAAAGCTTAACGCGATCGATCCGCGAAGACCATTGGGCGCCGTGAGAGGGCAAATGCCCGCGCCGAATGCAGGCCCGGCAGCTTTTGCCCCTGGTAGTTTTAGCTCCGGTTCGGCCGCAGGTCCGGCAAGAGGAATGGCCGTACCTGGTGGCGGGATCTCCCGGCCGCAGCAGCCGCCTGCGCAGCCACCGCCGTCGGCGCAACCTTTCCAGCAGCCTTCGCAGCAGGGGATGTACCCGCAACGCCCCCCGCCACAGCGGATGCATCGGCGCATGATGTCAGCGTCGCGCGCGGAAACGAGCACGTGGGAGGTTCTGGACGTGAGCGGCGGTGAACCGCAGGTGCAGCAGGTGCAGATGCAGCGACTGTTGCTCACGCAGGAACAGCAACAGCAGCAGCAGCAATACCACCAGCAACAGCAGCAATTCCAGCAGCAGCAGTACCAGCAGTATCAGCGGCAGATATCCCTTCCGGTGATGGATTCAGCCAATCAGCGGCGGCTTCAGAAGGCCACCACTTCGCCGGCGATGCGCCCGGGGATGGTCGACTCCGCGGCTGCTGCCGCTGGCGCTGGGCGCGGGGGAGGAGGCGCAAGCCACGCGCAGCGATTTGCGCCGCAGCTGCACCCGCCGCCGCAACACGGCCCCTCGGCGCAGATGCCCCCCGCGCAAATGCCCGCCCACCAGCATCAGTTGCGCCAGCAGGCGTCTCCGCAACCCCCGCTGGACCCCCGGCGCTTCATCCGCGCGGGCCCCCTCCCCCAGTGCGGGGACACCGACCGCGGATGCGGTCCATGGGGCAACTGGCGGAGCTGTTACCTGCGGACAGGGGGGGATTCGGGGGTGCCGTGGGCGCGGGGTTCGCGGGGGATGGCGCATCCGCTTTGGCAGATGGATTGGGGGTGGATCGACTTAATCTGGAAGGGGAGCACGGGGGAAGCGGCGGAGGCTGGGGATGGGGAACTGGCGCGGAGGCGGGCAGCGATCCGGTGTATTTAAGATCGAATACTGGTTCCGGGCAGGGCTTTTTTAGGTCGAACAGCGGCAGTGGTAATAGAATGGACGGCCTTCCTCCTGTTGCGACGGCAAGGCCGCCGCGCGCGCTCAGGAGGGTCAGCAGCGAGTGGGGCGAGCGGGGCGGAGAGGGGGAAGAGGGGAGGAGGCTCAGCGCGGGTGCAGCAGGGGGGATTGGCGGAGTCCTCAGGTCCGCCAGTGGGGGGAGTAATGAGAGAAGGCCCGTGGGGGGAGCTGCAGGAGGAGCGGGGGGAGGAGTGGGGGGAGGAGGCAGCATGGGGGGAGGATTGGTGCGCGGAATGGGGCAGCACGGGTCAGTGGTGGAGCGGGGGGGGCGGCACCTGCACCACCGCACCATGTCCCTCGATAGCTCCGCGCTCATGCAAGGCGGATTGGCCAGCCGCGGGGGAGCCGCAGGGGCGGCGCTGGGCGCAGGGGGAGGTGGGGCAGGGGGAGCACCAGGGAGAGGGGTGGGCGGAGTGGGTGGAGTGGGGCCAGCAGCTGGGGCAGTAGCTATGGCAGGGGGGTTTGTCTCCCGGGCAGTAGCAGCAGCGGGACCAAGTCCGCGGACGCCTGAGGGGGAGGACGAGGCGACGAGGGTGCTGGAGCGGGAGTGGCAGATGGGGTGGGAGCAGGAGCGGGAGGAGGACGAGGGGGGGCTGCCTGGGCTTGTGGGGGCGGCTGGGGAGCATGTAGCTGGCGGAGGCAGGGAGTATTCTCCCGCTAGCAGCAGTGGTTATTCGCCTGCGAGTGCGACGAGGGGTTCGCCGGGTGACGAGAGGGAGCAGGCGTTAATCGCGCAGAGACGAAACATGCTTCCGCATTTGCAGCAGCTGCAGCAGTCGCCGCCGCAGCAGCAGCAGCAGCAGCAGCAGAATCACTTCCAGCAACTGCCACAGCAGCAGCAGCTGAGTGCGTCGTTCACGGCTCATGATGCTGCCATGGTGCAAAAGGGACTGCGCATTCAGCAGCGACTAGACGCTCTGGAACAGCACAAGCAGCAGCAGCAGCAGCAGCAGCCACAGCTGAATCACCCCTCCCTCCAGCAACACCAGCCTCAACACCACCAGCAGCAGCAGCAGCTGCAGCAGCAGGGGGTAGTCAATTCAGAAGCACAGGAGGAGAGGAGGGGGTGGGTGGGGCCGAGGCGGCACCGTGTGGGGATGGACGCAGTGTTCCGCGCGTTTGTGCTGGGACAGCCGTACAGCGACATAGCAGAGCAGTATGAGGTGCGGCGCCACGAGGTGGTGGCCATGGGCGAGTTCAGCGTCGTGCGCGTGTGCCGTGAGGTGGAGACGGGCGTCATGCTGGCGTGCAAGACCATTGAAAAGGACTCCATTCACGTGAGTGGGGTGGGTGGTTAGAGGGGTTGGGTACAGGGTGGCTAGAGGGTGGCTAGAGGGTGGCTAGAGGGTGGCTAGAGGGTGGCTAGAGGGTGGCTAGAGGGTGGCTAGAGGGTGGCTAGAGGGTGGCTAGAGGGTGGCTAGAGGGTGGCTAGAGGGTGGCTAGAGGGTGGCTAGAGGGATTTCTAGGATGTCTCAGTAGGCGAGTTGAGCATGGTGCGTTTGTGCTGGGACAGCCGTACAGCGACATTGCCAAGCAGTATGAGGTGCGGCGCCACGAGGTGGTGGCCATGGGCGGGTTAAGTGTCGTGCGCGTGTGCTGTGAGGTGGAGACAGGGGTCATGCTCGCCTGCAAGACGATGGAGAAGGACTCCATTCACGTGAGTGGGGCACTACAGGGGGATGGGAGAGGGTGGCTAGAGGGATGTCAAGGACGTGTCAAGGTGAGTTCAGTACTGTGCGCGTGTGCCAGGTGCAGACTGGAGGCATGCTCGCATGCAAGTCCACTGAAAAGGACTCCATCCATGTGAGTGGGGCACTGCAGGTGATTAGACGAGGTTTGGGGCCCCTTGTAGATTGTTTAGCAGCTTGCGCGTGTCCCATATGGTGGTGGCTATGGGCGGGTGCAGCGGTTGCGCACGTGCGTCGCCTCAAATGATCACTTTCTGTCCTCACTCTTCCCATCCTTGCTTTCCCCTCCTACCTCGCGCATTTCCCTGGGCGCTGCTTGTGTGTGGCAGTCAGCGGAGGAGGCGCGGGATCTACGGAGGGAGGTGGAGATGGTGGAGCGAGTGGCAGGGCACCAACTCCCTCTATCTTCCCCTTTTCCCCTCCTCTGCGCCTTCTCCCTTTCCCCTTCTGCACTCTGGCCTCGTGTGGCAGTCAGCGGAGGAGGCGCGGGATTTGAGGAGGGAGGTGGAGATGATGGAGCGCGTGGCGGGGCACTGCAATGTCGTGCGCCTGCACGCCGTCTTTGAGGACCATGAGGTGCGTGCGGTGCATCTAGGGCAATACCGCGAGAACAAAAGTAGAACACTGTGAGAGGAGAGCACATGGGGTCCATGTAAGTGGGCCTCGGGCTGGGCTGGCTTAGTCGTGCTGCATGAATGCTTCCTTATCACTCAGAATGGACTACTGCTCGTCCCGGCCACTAACACCAACAACCAACGCACTTGCCTAGCATTCTCTCTCACGCCCGTCTGCAACAGCTTATTCCAAGTTGCTACTCCCATCTTCTCTCTCCACCGCACCCCACCGCTCCCCTCTTCCCTCTCCCCTCCCCAAACACCCTTCCCACGTCTCATATCCCGGGTCAACAGAATATTCATCTGGTGATGGAGCTTTGTCACGGGGGAGGCCTCTTTGACTACATGCGCACCCATGGCCCACTCACCGAGCGGGCGGCGGCGTCTGTCTGTTTCCAGCTGCTGTCAGCGCTGGATCACTGCCACGCGTGCGGCGTGCTGCACCGCGATGTGAAGCCGGAGAATGTGCTTCTAGCGAGGGCTGAGAGTGACTTTGGCAGCATTAAGCTCATCGATTTTGGAATTGCCGCTGAGCATCAACCAGGTAACTTGCATATATTTAGAACAATAATAATGTATTCAGACCTTTTACACTCACCTGCTTCACCCCCTTCTCTGCATCACTCTCCGATCGCTCCCATCAACCCACATCCCCCTGCCCCTTTTTCCTCCATTCCCCCCTCCTGCAGGCGTGCGCAGCAGCACCCTCTGTGGCACGCCTCTCTATCTCGCGCCAGAAACCCTTGATGGAGTCTGGTCTCCACAGGCTGACGTGTGGGCGGCTGGCGTTGTCTCATATGCAGCACTGTGTGGCGTGCCGCCCTTTTGGGCAGAAACCAATGAGGGGATTTTCCGAGCCATCCGCTCGGAACCTCTGCGGTTTGCCTCAGCAGCCTGGGTCGGCGTGTCCGAAGCTGCCAAGGACCTGGTTCGGGCAATGCTGGATAAGAACCCGCACCGGCGAATCACAGCACAGCAAGCTCTTGGTAAGGACATTACAAAGAATGCTGTGTGTGAGGAGATCGCGAAGGATGATGGTGTGTTTTATTTTTCCTCACACATGCATTTCATGCTCCATTCCCTACCCCGCCTTTGCGTTGGCTGCTGTTGCTGTGTCTAATCATCTGTTGTTGCGTGTTTCTTTTTATTGCAGGACATAGATGGTTCCAAGAGGTGTAGACCGCAGCATCAATAGAAGTGCTGCTAAAACTAGGTAGCTCCCACAATGTACTACTTATTACTAAAACGTCATTGTGCTTTGTGAGTATATGTGACTCAAATGGGTTTTTCCATAGATCGCCAATAATTTCGCTTGCTTTTTACTTTTCGCCTTTCCCATGACCCTCTCAGCCAAAGCTCGTGCCATCCACACACTCATGGTTACTGCCCCCAGCCGTCCGTAACCATGTTGGTTTTCACGATGGAGGCGATGCCATCATGCCACATCACGCACACCGACGGTGTTGTCAATGGCCCACCGCGACTGGGCGGAACGCGACGTGTCGCTTAGCGACAGGCTGGTGGTTGAATAATCCGATTTCGCCAGCTGCCACCAGCTTGTCCGTGCCTAGATTTTGTCGCCCGCTGCTTGCCCTGCTTGTGGGCATTGTCATGGAGCTTGTCCGCGCCTCGCTGCCTGTTGCCTTTGCTGACCCCAAGCCACTTGATCCAGCGCATGTCTTCGAACCCATCCAGCCATTGTCGGGTTTCATCTGGCGTTTCAGTCGAGTTTTGTCTTTTATTAGTTGTGTCAGGCTCGGGATGACCACCTCCTCCCGTTCCCGTTCCTGTTGGCTATCGAACAAGGCCTGATTCTCACCAGCCGTTCAATCTCGTCACACCCAAACCCAAGGCTCCCCAGTTCCCGCCTCAGCACAGCTCTGCCTCCAACCCAGAGCGAAATTCGCCGTAACAGCTCGACATTCCCAAGGCCAGCCTTGCTCTGCCCATAATCATCATTCCCAGTCAGATTCGTGTACACGTATTGGACCTTCCAGGGAGGTCTACTAGCAGCTAGCAGACGATTTCAACCCATAGCCATGCTTGGTCACCATTACGGTAATGCAAGGGTGCAGCAATATGTCCTACGCAACATTTGTTCTGCTAGGACCGTCCCTAGATGTAGGCAACCGTGTCCTTACCACATCACGAGGCGTTATTGGAGATACTTGGTGGCGAATTCTGTTTTCGCATTTATTTGTCAATCCGTGAAGAACGATTTTAACAACTAAGTTCTCGTGGTGGTGGTCGTCAGTGTCAATAAACGCGGAGCCACGTGCGTTTTAGCTGTATCCGTCACAATGGCCAACGTTGCCTCAGAGAACTCTGTTCTCAGCGACACACGGAACTCGTGGCACTTGCCAATCCGCGCCGAGTGCGAATTCATGGAGTCTCGGAACAGTTGCGACGACAAGCCGGCTCAGCACGGCCAGCACCGTAGATCACGCAGTAGAGGCTCAACCCAAGACAATCCCTGCCGGTCTGCTTCACATTCGACTTCCCATTCAAACCACGCGAACCAGAGACCGCCAGCGCCCGGAATTCCACCGATTTCCATTCACCAGCCGCATCCCTCCGGAGCGACCCAGGTTGAGGTTCTCCGCTGGCTCGACGACGCGGCGAATGCGTCGAGGCGTTCTCTCATAGCGGGGGAAGCGGACGCGGACGCGAGTGTAGCGAGTGAGCGACTCGACTCCTGCTCCACCATGGGAATCTGTAGCTCACACTCCAAGTTGGACGGTCATCATCATGCGCTTCGGAGCAGCGTCAAGGCGACGCGTGCGCGACCCGCTACGGCTCCTCACGCGGACAGGCCGTTTACTCGCGACCATCGTGGTGGTTCCGGTGGTTCCGGTGATTCGGGTGGTTCTGGCTCAAGCGCTACGTCAGTCATTCGCCTTGATGGTAGTAACGGAGACATTGGGAGACGGAGAGGGATGGCAGGAGGCAGCGCGATGACGCATGCTTCTCAGGTGTCTCCTGAACACGCCGCTGTGCGACCGTCGTCCAGACGAAGTTCCAGAAAGACCGTTCCATCGGACAACGCCGCGACTCAGCGGAGCAGTTCGCGACAGATCACACTGGACGGGTCGCCTTCCCCGCCGCCATCTGCGACGGACGATCAGAGCAGCCCGTGCTACTCCGCCTTCCCGCAATCCAGCTCCGACGGCTCTCAGTCACACCGCTCATTGTCACACTCGATGCAGTCACGCATGCCGCGGTCGCAGATGCAAGCGGATGAAAGGGTTCATCTCTGTGGCCAGGCGCTGTTTCCTCACTCCCAGTCTGAATCGTGCGCTACTGGCAAGCATCAGAGCCAGTCAAGGACCCGCAGGGATGCTCGGTCTCCCCCCACCGCGCAGGAATACCACCCTGCTCTTGCGAGCCACGGCGAGGTATTACCCCATATAAGCACGTCCAAAATCAGTGGCAACACCGCCGAGGGTGGGCACCATGTCAGGCCCAGCCGATCTCGCACAGATGGTGATAGCAGGCGCCCTCCCAGCAGGAGCTCAGAGAAGCGATCTCAGCCGTCGGAATTTCCACAGCCACAATCTGCACCAGATCTGCTCATTTTGGCCAGTCCAGAGAGTTCCTTCGACGCTGCTACGAGTCAGCAGGCGAGTCCGGTTGAGGGGGAGCAACGCTCTGCTACGCCGCCTGTGCCAGAAACGGATGTGACTGCATCGAGGTCGGGAAATGCAGATGACGTGTGCACGGAGGGTTGTTGGAGTGATTATAATGAAATGATGGTTGTGCGAGAGGGAAGCAGGAGTCACTCTGAGCGGCCAAAAACGACTCCTGCACCAGATGAAAGGCAAGACTGGCAAGGACGGCTCGGCAGACCTAGTAGCTGTGAGGATGGATTGGATGTTACCAGTGGCGAAGTGGCTGATTCTGATTGGCTGGCGGAGTGCAACGCAGGGAGTGAGAAGATGGCGCTATTCAAGCAGAAGCTGAAGGATTTGAAGGTGCGGAGGCACTCGGATGATGGGGTGCTTGGAAACAAAATGTCCCTCTTTCGCCTCAGACTCAAGGCGCTGAGAATGGGAAGCGAGACGAGCAATGAAGGGGATGGAAAGGATGAGCGGAGAAAGATGGATGAGTTCAGAAGCCGGATAGGGGAGTTGAAGGTGAAAGGGCTTGAGAGAGATGAGGAGAGGAGGCGGAAGGAGAAGGAGAGGCGGAGAAGTAGCAAGGAGGAAGGGAGAGGTGGAGGGAGAGGGGGAGAGAGAGGGGGAGATGGAGAGAAGAGGCGGAGCAGGAGCAGGAGCAAGAGCTACGACCAGTCAGCATATGCAAGTATGGCAGGCGATTTGAGCGAGGACGCAGTTCACATTAGAATCGATGGGGAGAGCATGGTGAGGATACAGCTGCAGGGGAACAAGGGGGAGAGACTGCCAGAGGGCAGGACTAATGTGGAGAGCAGGGAGGAGCGAGAGCGGAGTGGGGAGCATGGGAAGAGGGCAGCAGGGAGGAGGGAGTCAGAGCAGTGCCATGCGATGGTGCAGGCACGGTCGTCAGGAAATGAGGGCCAGGCGGGGGAGAAACAGAATCGGCACAGCCGGTCTAAGAGCATGGAGGGCAGCAGGAAAGGCCCATCTCACAGGCGAGGTGTGAGTATGGACGCGTCCTTGCATGGCGCTCATGCACGCTCAGGGAGTACTACTGCTGCTGCAAGTGCTGTGGCTTCTGCTGCTGCTGCTGCTGCTGTTAGTTCTGCCAACGCCAATGCTCCGGTGGCTGCGAAATCCAATGCTGCTGTGGCTGTTAATGCTGCTGCAGCTGCATTGCCCCCCAGTGTCGACCAGAGGTGGAGACTCACCCAATCAGCCAGCTTCGGTGGCCGTGCTGCAGTCCCCACCGCACCGTCCGCTGCTGCGCTTACCCACACACACACGTTCCACAGCACCTCTGCTTCCGCCCAAGCTATGGCATCCGCTGCTGCTGCTGCTGCTGCCACTGCTGCTGGTGCTGCTGCTGCAGCTGGTGCTGGTGGGGGAGGTAGCAGAGGCAAGGCTCTCCCACCCGGCCTTCCTGCCCCGGTTACCTGCACCCGCAAACCCAGTGGGGCGCATAGGCGCTGTGCGTCCTATGGCGGGCAGGCAGTACAGGACAGGAACGGGTGCGTTATGGGTCCCGCGGTACTGGATGTGAAGGCAGGGCGACGGCAAAAAGGAGGTGTAGGGAAGGAGGGTGGGAGGGAGCCAATCGCGTGTGGGCAGGGGCTAGAAGGAGGGTCTCAAGGAAAAAAGAGCTCCAAAAAGAACGTGCCTGAGGGAAAAGAGGGAGCGGAGGGATCAGCGAAAAGAGTGAGAGCTGTGGCAGCGGGAAGCTGCCAAAAGGCACCAGGTAAAGCCAAGGCAGCAGCAGGAGGTGTGGGGGAGGGCGATACAGGGGAGGGTGTTGGAGAAGGAGGTGCTGCAGTAGGAAGCAGACGGAGGCGGTTGAGGAAGGTGTTCTGCTTGGATGCGCCTTCTGTCGTGCACGGCTGGTGCAGCGACGGAGAGGACTTGGGAGCTGATTCAGACGGTGGGCTGTCTGAGGGAGAAAAGGGTGGGGAGGACGGAGATGAGGGTGCTGCTGATTCAAGCGTGCGATCCAGCCAGCAGCAGCAGCAGCAGTATCAGCAGCAGCAGCAGCAGCAGCAGCAGAAGAAGATTGTTGGTGCAGGTTCTCGTCCCAGCACAGGTGGAGCAGAGAGCAGGAGGCGTCCATCCACCGCCCCCCACGCGGACCACCAGTTGCGCCGCGTGTACTCGCAGCACACCCCAGACTCTGCCGCTGCTCACTCCGCTGCTCACTCTGCTGCGCAATCTGCTGCACCATCCACAGCCTCCTCTCCTGCTAGAGGCTATTCTGCCGGCAAGGCAAGGCGCGTCGCATGTCAAGAAAAAGCGTCCATCACACCGGAGCGAGGGACAATCCGGAGGGTCAAGTCTCAGCAGCATGGGGGGGAGCCGGTCGAAGTGGTTCGCCGCAACACCACAGGCCACGGAGCCCCTGCCTCTGCTGTCCGTCTGCCCCGCTCGCTCACAGCCCACCAGCCTTCCAGCAGGTTTGAAGAGCCTCGGTTCCCGGGACAAAGGGCCGGTGTGGTGTCAACCCGGTTACCGCGATCGCTCACTCAGCAGCCGTCTCAGTGTCGATCCGACGGCTCACACGCTGTCTCTGCAGCTGCTGCAGACCCGTCAAGATCATACAGGTCCTCTTGTTCTGCAGATGGCTCTGCCAGGTTCCGACGAACCAAGTCCCAGCAGTCAAACCCTGAAGTGGTGGCGCGGCGACAGCAGCAGCAGCAGGAGGAAACGGAGGAGGAGGAGGAAGAGGAGCAACGAGGTGGTGGGATGGGTGCAGGCAGAGCATCTGATGAGCTGTTTCGAATGCTGGACGCGTTGGCCAAAGAGAGGCCTGAGGACCTGGCCAAGCTGCAGCGCGTGGTGGCACTTCATCAGCAGCAGCTGGCAGGGCGAGAGGGGAGAGCGGGAGGAGGAGAAGAGAGTGAGGAAGATGAGGAAGGGGATGGTGGGGAGGGGAGGAGGAGTGAGAGTTCTAGTAGACGGAGGAGGAAGGGCGGCAATGAACGCAAGGCTGTTGTCCATACTGTTGCTCACGCCGATGCCGATGCCGATGCTGCTGCTGAGTATGTAAATCTCGCTTCTGACAGTGACTCTGGTGCTGATGTTGATGTTTGGGTGAGGGCGTATGAGGAGGAAGAAGCAGCAGCAGCTGCGGCTGACCCCCACCCAGGAGACCACGTGCTAGGCAGGGAATACTCCGATATAGCAGCCTCGTTTGTGATTATAAAGAAGGAGGTGCTGGGGCAGGGAGAGCTGGGCGTGGTGAGGAGGTGTGTGGAGGTAGCAAGCGGCGAGGTGTATGCATGCAAGACAGTGGAGAAGCGGGGGATAGTCACTAGGCAGGATGCGGGGGATGTGAGGCGCATGCTGGCATGCCTGCAGGCGGCCAGGGGCCATGCCAATGTGCTCACGCTCAAGGCTGTGTTTGAAGATGCCGAGGTGAGGCATGCATGCATGGCATGGCATGGGTTCAGCTTGCCTGGGAATGCTGCCCATGCACGGGGGTACATACGCTGTTGCGCATAGTATGTCGAACCTGTGCAAGAGCTATCGTTGTAGTTAGAACCAGATTTTTGCGTGTCTAGACTTCAGAATATATCATTTCGTCTCTTTGCTTCCTTTGCAGAACATCCACGTCGTCACGGAGCTCTGTGCGGGCGGCGAGCTGTTCGATCTGATTCGGCGCAACGGGCGGCTGAGCGAAGGCGTGTGTGCATCGGTGTGCAGGGGAGTGGCGGCAGCACTGCAGCACTGCCACCGGCAGGGCATCATGCACCGCGATGTCAAGCCCGAGAACATCCTTTTGTTGCACCCGCGCTCCAATTCCCCTGTCAAGCTCTCAGACTTTGGGGTCGCCACTGCATTTACAAAAGGTACGGTTCTCGTGACTGTGTGACACTTTGTGTTATGCAGAGAGGCCCCATGCCGTCCACTTGGGCTGAAAGCTTTCAACTTCTGGTTCACTTAAAATGTGGCGCATGAGAATATGATTAGAGCATGGCACATCAAGTGCTTCTACATCCCCGGAGCTGACATAAGTGATGTCAAGCCTGAGAACATCCTCCTGCTGCACCCACACCCCAACTCTCCTGTCAAGCTCTCAGACTTTGGGGTCGCCACTGCGTTCAAAAGAGGTACGGTTCTTGTGGCTGTGTCTCACAGTGCTTTTCGCAGGGAGCCCCTATGACGTCCACTTGGGCTGGAAGCTTTCATATTCTGATGCGCACGCTCTCTGTGAGTACATGGCGCCAGATGTCATCAACGGCTGCTACGGCCCGGAAGCTGTCATTCGGAACGCCGGAGCTGTGCTCTACAACATGCTGTTCTTTGTCTCGTCCCCCTCCTTTTTTTATTCCTTCTCATTGCACTTTCTTTCCTCCATCATCACCACCAGGCATCCCTCTGAGTGACATGATGGGAACGCGAGAGTACATGGCACCAGAGGTCATCAACGGCTGCTATGGCCCAGAAGCCGATATCTGGAGCGCTGGAGCCGTGCTCTACATCATGCTGTGCGGTGCGTCGCCCTTCCGGGCGACGGCCAATCACAGCGTGACAGATGTCATCCTCAGGAAGCCCGTGAAGCTGAGCTCGGCGCGGTGGAAGGGGGTATCGGAGGAGGCTAAGGACCTGGTGCTGCGCATGCTGGAGAGATCCCCTGCCAGGCGACTCACAGCCAGCCAAGTGCTAGGTACGCCACGGTGAAGAGTGGTGCTGGGGAGTTGTGGTTGGGGTATGCGAGGAAAGAGGAGTGGTAGTAAGGATCTTGGAAGGGCCTGATGGTAAACATTGCTGGAGAAGCGGATTTCAAAAGGCTTCACTCAGAAGGCGTGTTAAGTCAAAGTAGTCTGGTCGGGGCGAGTAACGTGGACCTATTACAGCCTGATTTTTGTTGTTCTTTGTCCGTTTCTCCTTTCTGTATTTTTGGTGCTCCTTTCTAATTGTCTTTGCAGAGCATCCTTGGATCCAAAAGTGGACCTGAAGAGGGATGGAGGCCACTTGATGTACGTGGGTTGAGGGGACGGCTAGGGAGGTGCGAGGAAGGCGTGTTGCTTGTGCAGGAAACAGGACACAATGACATGGAGTGGAACGGTAGAGACGGAGGAGCGTGCTGCCCCGAAAACAGGACTGCATTGGGGTGCATTTGTTTCTGTCATGCTGGCCTCATGCCCTGGCTACAGGGTACAGGCATATCGACACCTTCGGCGCATGGCCCAGCCATGCCAAAAAAAACAAGAGGCGACTAGGTCGTCCTAGGGTTGCGAAGCAAATTGGTATGAAACTTTCTCATTGTAGTGTAGTATGAAACCATAGTAGCGTGGTACAAAGTGGTGCATCATCTTTCCTAAAAAGTTCGAATCCGTCCTGGAGTTGGAATCAAACCCTCGACCTTTTGATTCTCAGCAAAGTTTCAACCGACTGGGAAAACGCTGCTGCTTAACAAGCGTAACGTATTTTACAGGACCGTTTATTTTGCGACGAATTTCGCATTGCATTAGGGTTAGTTCAACCCTAAACCCTGTATAGAACTAAGTTAGGAGATTAAGAGCTAGCCTATCATTTCTTATTATCGTATCGTAGTCGTTTACTCAATTCTTGGTCATTTTAAAGGATCCAGGTTTTTAAAGGTTAGGTTCTAGACTTGTTTCAAGTACTTAAGCTTTAAGTCGTTTATAAGCCTGCATGCGTTCTTTAGTTCCTCATCGTCCTTTTCCTTCCGTCGCATCCTTATCACCTTGTAGTTGCATATGTTATTTGACATTCTCACTGTCAAATGATATATATGTGTGATATATATTGGTAGGCTGTAGTGGGGTAGATGTTATAGGGGATAACTCCTTAGGGTTGTGTTATTTTGTACCAAACTCTCGATAGTGCACACCACCTTGCCTAGCTATCTCAACATGGCATCTAGAGCAATGGTCCTAAGGACCTAAGATTGGGGCCCACCTACTCATGAGTTACTTTCCCTACAGCTATACCTACGTGCCTACCTTGCCTGCTGCCCGCGCGCGCCTCGGCTGCATGCGCGCGTGCATTTTTTTTTAGCGCGCCCCGCTGCCTTAGCCGCCCGCGTGCTCGCTGCTGTCACGCGCAGCTCGGCGCCGCGCGCAGCCCGCCGCCACGCGCGACCCGCCGCCGCGTGCAGCCAGTAGCCACGCGCAGCCCGCAGCCGCACGCAGCCCGTCGCCGCGCGCAGCCCGCAGCCGCACGCAGCCCGTCGCCGCGCGCAGCAAGCTGCCACGCACAGCCCGCAGCCGCGCGCAGCCCGCTGCCGCGCGCAGCCCGCAGCAGCGCGTGCCCTGCCCTGCCTGTGCGCCACTGCCTCGACCTGAGCGCTTAGCCGCCCGTGAGTCGTGCGCTTACCTGCCTTACGCGCGGCCTGTCACAGAACTGCGTGCTTCCTTACCTGCTACAGTTGCCTGCTGCCTGAGCCTGCTGCCTGAACCTGCAGTCTTTGCCTGCTGCCTGAGCCTGCTGCCTGAGCCTGCTGCCTGAGCCTGCTACCTGAGCCTGCTGCCTGAGCCTGCTGCCTGAGCCTGCTGCCTGAGCCTGCTGCCTGAGCCTGCTGCCTGAGCCTGCTGCCTGAGCCTGCTACCTGAGCCTGCTGCCTGAGCCTGCTGCCTGAGCCTGCTACTTTTGCCTGCGCTACAACCATGGCGACCCTTACTGTTCTCGCCTTTGAGCCTGACGGCCGCCCCATCGAGTTTGACACCTGGCTTAGTGACCTGCGCCTTTACCTTATGACTGACGTCGCAGACGGAGTATCACTGCTAGCCTATGTGACCGGCACTGTCCCTACTCCTGCTGAGACTGCTCCTGCCCCTGAACGAGCACAGTGGGAGCTCCGCGATGCTGTCGCGCGCCTTGTTATTCGCAATCACCTACCGATCTCTGAGCGCGCGCATTTCAACCAGCTTAAGACTGCTAAGACGCTGTATGATGCTGTCGTTGCCCGCTATTCCGCCCCGACCACAGCCACCGTTGGTAGTCTCATCCTGCCTTACCTGTTCCCAGACTTAGCCTCGTTTCACACTGCTGCCGACCTTATCACTCACCTCCGCGCTAGTGACGCCCGCTTTCGAGCCGCTCTTACCAACGAGTTCCTCGCCACGAACACCCCCCCGCTGTACTTCACCCTCTACATCCTCGTCACCCGCCTCCCTGACACTCTTCGCTCTGTCAGGGATTACTTCCTTGCCAAGGATCCTCCAACTATCACTCTGGACGACTTCGAGCAGCAGCTGGTCGCAGCAGAGAAGAACATCCTCGCTGTCGGTGCTGCTCGTGGCACTCCCCGCACTCCCCTCTTTGAGGGGTGCTCCCCCTCCCCTCTTGACCCCTCCTACGCCTCTGCTGCTACTGCTGTCGACTTCCTCGGTGCGGAGAAGGTCGCAGCGGCTTCCGCTCCTGGTGGGAAGCGTGGTGGTGGCAGGGGCGGCAAGGGTGGCAGGGGTGGCGGAGGTGGCGGTGGAGGGAGCGGTGGTGGAGGCGGCGGGGGTGGTGGAGGTGGTGGGGGTGGCCGTGGGGGTGGAGGCGGTGGGTGGGGTGGCGGCAGGACCGGGGGCGGTGGAGGCGGCGGCGGCGGTGGTGGGGGAGGAGGCAGCGGCAGTGGCGGTGGAGGTGGGAGTGGGGGTGGATCTGGCCAGAAGGGTGGCCAGCAGCAGCAGCAGCAGCAACAGCCACAGCAGCAGCAGCAGCTTCCTCCCCTCACCTCCCAGCAGCTCAATGACTGGTATGCTGGGCGTGGGGCGTCTCGGGGTTCTGACCGCTGCCCCTATGTCATTCGTACTGGCCCCCGCAAGGGTCGCCCCTGCAACGGTTTTCACACTGAGTATCGTTGTTTTGCTAGGCTTAGTGACGCCTGGCGTACTAAGTATCCTGATGCTACTGAGTTCCCCAACTGGGCAGAGCTGCTTAGGCGTGATGTGCCTATCTTTGATCTGGACTATGATGTTATTCTTGCTGCCATGTATGCATTGACTGTTAGTGCTGAGGGTGACTGCTACTTGTGTGTGCCGCCTGACCCCGGTATAAGGACTGCAGCCCTAGGTGCTAGTGAGTCTGCTCCCCTTGGTACTGAGTCGGCTCAGGCCTTGCACACGTTTACACTTGACTCTGGTGCTTCCCGCTGTTTCTTTCGCGATAGCACCACCGTCACTCCGCTCCCTGCACCTGTCCCTGTCTCCCTGGCTGACCCCTCTGGGGGCCCAGTGCTTGCACGCGGCACGACTGTGCTCCCGTGCCCGGCGGTCCCGTCTGGTGAGCTGTCAGGTCTCCTCGTTCCCTCGTTCTCTACGAACCTGGTGAGCAACGCCGTCCTCCAGGATCACTGGGTTGACACCTGGACTCCTGGAGGGCAGCGTGTGGCGATCTGCACGTGCTCCAAGACTGGCCGCCACCTGGCCACGTTCACTCGTGAGCCGGGGTCCAGTCTGTACACCCTCACCACTGTTTCACGCTCCGCTCCTTTGTCTCCGCAGCTGTACGCGTCTGCTCAGGTAGCTACCCAGTGTGAGTGCCGCCGCCTGTCGCACGACACGCTCCTGTGGCACCACCGCCTTGGTCACCCCTCCCTGCCTCGCCTTCGTAGCATGCACTCTCGCTCTCTGGTCTCTGGGCTTCCCAGGTCTCTGCCTGCCCTCCCTCCCTCGCCTGCGCCGCCCTGCATTCCCTGCGTCGAGGGGCGGCAGCGCGCCGCTCCTCACTCCTCCTCGTTTCCTCCCACAGAGGCTCCCCTGCAGACGCTTCACCTGGACGTGTGGGGCCCAGCCCGCGTCCAAGGACAGGGCCGTGAGCGGTACTTTCTGCTGGTTGTCGACGACTTCACGCGTTACACCACGGTCTTCCCCTTGCGCAGCAAGGGAGACGTCCCTGCTGTTTTGATCCCCTGGATCCGCGCTGTGCGTCTCCAGCTCCGCGAGCGGTTCGAGCGGGACTTTCCTGTCCTGCGTCTGCACTCTGACAGAGGTGGTGAGTTCTCCTCTGACCTCTTGGCAGCCTTCTGTGCGGAGCACGGCATCACCCAGTCGTTCACGCTTCCGGCCTCTCCGCAGCAGAATGGAGTTGCTGAGCGCCGCATTGGCTTAGTCATGGAGGTCGCTCGTACCTCCATGATCCATGCGGCGGCTCCCCATTTTCTGTGGCCGTTCGCGGTCCGGTACGCCGCGCATCAGCTCAACCTCTGGCCCCGTGTCTCCTTGCCGGAGACCTCGCCCACACTGCTGTGGACGGGGGAGGTTGGCGATGCGTCGCGTTTCCGGGTCTGGGGTGCTCGTGCCTTTGTCCGCGATCTCACCGCGGACAAGCTCTCTGCTCGCGCCATTCCCTGCGTCTTCCTTGGTTTTCCTCCTGACGCGCCTGGCTGGCAGTTTTACGACCCCACCTCGCGCCGTGTCTTTGCGTCTCAGGACGTCACCTTTGACGAGTCTGTTCCCTTCTACCGTCTCTTTCCCTACCGCACTGCCTCTCGCCCCCCCCCGCCGCTCTTTCTCGCTCCAGGTCCTCCCCAGGTAGACCCCCTCCCCGCGCCAGGTCCTGCTCCTTCAGGTGTTTCTCAGGTAGACCCTCCGGTACCTGCGCCTGTTGAGGTCACTGGTGACTCAGGTCCTGCTGGAGGTGGTCCTGCTCGGGGTGCTGTCTCTGGGGGTGCTGAGCCTGGGGGTGCGGAGCCTGAGCGAGAGGCGCCTAGAGGTGCTGAGCCTGGGGGTGCGGAGTCTGGGGATGCCGTGCCTGCGCGTGAGGAGCCTGGCGGTGCTGAGCTTGGGGGTGTCGAGTCTGAGGGTGCTGTGCCTGCGCGTGAGGAGCCTGGAGGTGCTGAGCTTGCGGGTGCCGAGTCTGCGGGTACTGAGCCTACGCGTGAGGAGCCTGGGGGTGCTGGCGCTGGAGGTTCTGGAGCAGCTGGGGGTGCTGGCGCTGAGGGTTCTGAGTCTGCTGTTGCGCGGTCTCCTTGGAGTAGCCGCCTTCGTCCACGTGTGCCTCTCACCCCACAGCAGCTGCAGGACTGGTACGGTCACCGTCAGCGTCGCGCTGCTGGAGCTAGGAGTGGTGCTGGACCTTTGTCTACTGGAGGTGCTGGAGTCGCTGGTTCTGGAGGTACTCGTACTGGAGACACTGAGGCTGGAGACCCTGGGACTGGAGGTGCTGGCTCTGGGGGTGCTACTGCTGGAGACACAGGGGCTGGAGACCCTGGGACTGGAGGTGACGACTCTGGGACTGGAGCTTCTGGAGCTGCTGGAGGTTCTGGAGCTGCTGGAGGTACTGGAGCTGCTGGGGGTACTGGAGCTGCTGGAGCTGCCGGTACTGATGCAGCTGCGCCGACACGACTGTTCTTCGCTCCGCCGTCTCCGTCGTCTCTGCCGCCGTCTGACTCTGTTCTTCGTCAGGTTCTTACTCTCCCGTCGTCTACTGGTCTTCCGTTACAGCCTGGCTCACCGCTGCCTGCTCCTTCTCCTTACACTGAGCAGACTGGTAGTCCTGCTGAGCGTCGTGAGCCTGTGTCGCGTCCTGTCTCGCCTGCTCGTCCCGGTCGTCGTGTTCCTCGTTCGCGTCAGCAGGCTGTCCCCAGCACACACCTCGTAGTTCGTCGTCCTTCCTCTGCTCTGCAGCCTGTTCCTCTTCCGTCTCCTCCTGCGTCCTCTCTACCTGACGTTCCAGACCCTGAGTCTGACCGGTTTCGTGCTGAGCACCCTACTGTCACGCGTCTGCTAGCCACTGTTGTCACTGACCCGTCGTTTGAGTCTACTGCTGCGTCTGCTCTTGTCGCTGAGCTTGTTGACTTTGCTGCTGCCTGTCGTCTAGACTACGCCGCCAGTCTTGTTGCTGAGTCTGCGTCTGTCTGTCCTCCGTCCGTCGGGGGTGAGTGTGCTCTTAGCACGGACGTCCTTGAGGACAGGCAGGAGGAGTTCCAGTGTCTTGCTGCTGCTTTACCTCATCTTGTGTCCTCGCTACTTGCCCCTGAGGGAGACCCGGATGCACCAGACATCCCGACTCCGCGCTCTTACGCAGAGGCGATAGAGAGTCCCTACTCCTCTCAGTGGCAGGCAGCCATGGACGCAGAGATGGCTTCCTGGAAGTCCACAGGCACCTATGTCGACGAGGTTCCCCCACCTGGGGCGAACATCGTCAGTGGCATGTGGATTTTCAGGGTGAAGCGGCCGCCGGGTTCTCCGCCTGTCTTCAAGGCGCGTTACGTGGCTCGAGGCTTCAGTCAGCGAGAGGGAGTTGACTTCTTCCAGACCTTCTCCCCCACCCCGAAGATGACCACTCTTCGGGTGCTGCTGCACGTTGCTGCTCACCGTGACTACGAGCTTCACTCTCTTGACTTCAGCACTGCTTTCTTACAGGGCAGCCTGCACGAGGAGATCTGGCTGCGCCGCCCCCCGGGCTTCACTGGGTCGTTCCCTCCTGGCACCCAGTGGAGCCTCCGACGGCCGGTCTACGGTCTCCGCCAGGCGCCACGTGAGTGGCACGACACACTGAGGACGACACTTGCGGCTCTTGGGTTTGCGCCTTCTACTGCTGACCCGTCGCTGTTTCTGCGCACAGACACTTCACTGCCGCCGTTCTACATCCTCGTGTACGTCGACGACTTGGTTTTTGCCACTGCTGACACTGAGGCTCTCGCCCACGTGAAGTCGGAGCTACAGAAGAGACACACGTGCACTGACTTGGGTGAGCTGCGCAGCTACCTTGGCTTGCAGATCACCCGGGACAGAGCACGCCGCACCATCACCTTGACTCAGTCACACATGGTGCAGCAGGTCCTTCAGCGCTTCGGCTTCACCTGGTCTTCAGCACAGGCCACTCCTCTGGCTACAGGTCACACGCTCTCAGCTCCACCTTCGGACGAGTCCGTAGAGCCGAGTGGTCCTTACCCAGAGCTAGTCGGCTGCCTCATGTACCTGATGACTTGCACTTGACCTGACCTCGCGTACCCTCTTGGTCTCCTCGCTCGCTACGTGGCTCCTGGTCGACACCGACCTGAGCACATGGCTGCTGCTAAGAGGGTACTGCGCTACTTGTGCAGCACATCAGGCATGGGGCTAGTGCTTGGAGGGACGAGCCCAGTTGTCCTCACTGGGCACTCAGACGCTTCTTGGGTTGACGACCTGGCTACTCAGCGGTCGTCGCAGGGTTACACCTTCAGCCTTGGCTCTGGTTCAGTTTCGTGGCGTTCTACACGCTCGTCTTCAGTTCTCGGCTCCAGTTGTGAGGCTGAGATCTACGCCACCGCCATGGCTGCACAGGAGTTACGCTGGCTCACCTACCTGCTGACTGACTTGGGAGAGCAGCCTCGTTCTCCTCCAGTGCTGTACGTTGACAACAAGGCCGCCATTGCCTTGTGTGAGGAGCACAGACTGGAGCACAGAACGAAGCACATTGCTCTGCGTTACTTCCTGGCTCGAGAGTTGCAGCAGCGAGGCCAGCTTTGTCTTCGTTACGTGGCCACTCGGGCCAACACTGCTGATATATTCACCAAGGCACTTCCGTCTGGTGATCATCAGCGCTTTTGTACTCTGTTAGGCCTTGTGCCTATGCTTCCACACTTGCTGTAGTCTTTGCTTGTACTGTGATCTATATACATATATACCTGCATGCTGGCTCTTGCTAGGTAGCTCGACACTGTACTGTCATTGCTGCATATATATCTCTGCATGTGAACTGGCCTTGTGGCCATTTGCTTGTGCTCAGAATGTGTGGTGACGTTGTGATCCACCCTGAGCTTGTTTTGTTTCTCTTGACTGGTCTTGTGACCCGTTGCTCTCCCCCACTTTGCCTATGGGGGTGTGTCAAATGATATATATGTGTGATATATATTGGTAGGCTGTAGTGGGGTAGATGTTATAGGGGATAACTCCTTAGGGTTGTGTTATTTTGTACCAAACTCTCGATAGTGCACACCACCTTGCCTAGCTATCTCAACACTCACTTCATTTCCTCTTTTGTTCTTTCTATGTAGATTTGAATACTTAACCTTCACGTTTTAGTTCTTGTCTTGTGCTCCTTATTTATTGCCACCACCCATACGTGCCTTCTCCATTTCGTTTCTGAGCTCTATATACCCTTGCCCTTCAGCTTTCATTCCATTCAGTCATGAGGTACACATTCAACGGGCGTCCCCTTTCAACTATGCACGATCTAATCGTAGCTAGGTGAGTTCGCTCTATTGATATTTTTGTTTTGTTTTTTTAGTATTTGTATTTCGCCTCTCGTGTTTCTCTTATCCGTTCCTCTTTCCGTATTAGTCTGAACTTTATCCTTGTTCATTAGACATGAACTTCTGTTTGTTTCCGTTGCATCTCGTTTCCGTTTCAACAATGTTTTTCTTGAATTGGTTTATTCTACGTTATAGGTTCTTTGTTAACCAACACTCGTTTATGGTTTTGAACGGTCCTCTTATTGGGCTCTTCATTCTTAGATCGGTTTCTTAATTATTTGCTCCCTTTCTTCTTTTGTAGTTTTTTTGTTTCTGTTGCACCTAGTTTCCTTGCTTCTCTATTTTCTCTTGTTTCTCTGATCCTTTTTATTTTCTGTTTCACCTCTTTCCATATGCTTCTTTCAGCATGTTTGTTATCTGATTCTTGTATCCATGTTAACTAACTAGTTCTTTTTTTTTTTTTTAATGGAAATTGGATGTATCAAATCAGTTCAGCACGTGAATAGCAAAATTATAATGTATTGTGTCATTGCTAGGATTCTTTGCGTTTCTGTTGTACAATTTTGCACCTTATCCTCATTGTTCCATATTTGTCTTTCTTTCTTTCTATTGTTGATTCTTTCCCTTGTTGTTTTCTTCAGGAAGTGAAGGTTTTTTTGGACGGTGCAAAGCAAAGATAAGATGGTTCCGTGTAGGATTATATGTATATGGCTAGGGTTTAATTCTGCTTTTAGTTTTTTATTATTATTTTTTAACAGTTGATGCATTGAGCGTTTTTCGTTTGTGTGAATATGTGTGATCATGTGCATGTCTTTGTATCTGTCTATGTGCGTGTGTGTTTGCATTGTGTTGTGTGCGTATGTGTTTTCATTCATGCTTCCATTGCATTAATAACACATGTCTGTGGGTTTTAAAAAATTGGATCAAACTATCATTTCCGAGAAGGTTCTTTGCCCACTCAGTGAGTGTGTTCATTTGAACTGGATTTGATAGAATTGACCTTTTTTTTACTTCGCACAGATTGTGTTGTTTCATGTGACAGTTGGATGACTCAGGAACTATGCTATTGAGCTCCCCCCCATGCTAGGCAGGGGATGCCGTAGCATAGGGTCTGTGTCAATTAACTGTGACGCATTTTTATCATGATATGCATTCATTTCATTACCACAGTAGTATATGCAACATAATTATGCATTTTTCCATTAAATATTTTTTTCACCATATCCATCATTATACTTCATCTATGCATACCGTAACATCATCCGGCTTATGCATTACGGAATAAACAGTCACGCGTTCACAGGAACATCATTTTAGCAACCCATAGAGTATAGGTTCGGTCAAGACGAACCAAGAAATGAGAAGAAATGTGGTACGGCGCATACTAAATTGCCATGGCAAAGACATGGCAGTCAGTCACTTAGTTACCTTATCCTTTTTTTTTTTAAGTAAAGAGGATGAAAAAAAATTGAACATAACGATTGTAATAGGTTGCTTCGCAACCCAAAAAAAAAACCATAATATCTATGGCTGGGCACGAGTATGGTATGAAGCAACAGATACATATGGGTGTCTAGACCGGATGCAAGCTTGAATAAGTAGCACCTGACAGTGCAATGGCATACGTTGCCCTTACAAGCTGCAGCCAGGTGCCAGCTACAACATGTGTCAGACTTCTTTTAGGGCTATGATTGTTCAGTCACGTTGGAATGGCACAATAGCTGGTGCGGATATGCTAGGTTGTGCCTTGATAAAGTTTGATTATCTAGTCCATTATTGAGTTTGCAATGAGTGTGGTGCTGAAAAGGGAGAAGGTAGGCCATCCATTACAGAATAATAATACATTGGTAAGATGCAAATATATAGTGTGAAGAACCAGTAAGTCCCTGCAATAAGTACAGTGCTTGCGCGTATTAACATCTCGTTTGCTTCTCGAGGTAGTTAGTGGTGAGCCTGCGAATTCTGCCTTGGGGCTGGTGGTGGTGTCTGCTGTGTTCTTTGTGAGAACCACGATCTCTTGAATCTCTGACTTGTCTCGTTACGTTGATACTGAAGGATATTTTCCCACTAGTCAGTCAAAGAATGGCTGACTCCGCTCAACCCCCGTCGGATTCCGGAGCGACAACCTTTGAAGCTCCCCAGGCAGAGGATCGGCAGAAAGGGGCGACGGTCCATGTCCCCGAAGTGGAGGATGGCAGCGGTCGTGTCGACGATCAAATCGTTGACAAGAAAGAGGGTCTTACAGAACAGGGAGATGCTGCTGAGAGCACAGGTGAAGCTGGTTTGGAAAGCAAGCTAGCAAGTACGTCCGCGTCCTCGTCCAAGTCAACTTCAGCCGAAGGGAAGACCAAATCTCAGGGTAATAGTCGTTTCAAGAGTAGACTTTCCTGCATTCACCGAGGGTAAGCTAAACCTTGTTAACTCGAGGTCCGCTCTTACAGGAAAGGGAGCGAAGCTGCCTTTGGAACAAATACGGCGTGTCGTTGACGACCCTGAAGTACCAGCGGATGAAAAGATCAAGATACTGCATTCCAAGATTATGGCGCAGGTAAGCCGAGCATGACTGGTTTCCAAATGTTTGTGCTTGTATTCATTGTCTGGCCTTTCCCATTGCAGGCACGGGAAGCTAAGGCTGGCGAGAAGGAGAGCGCAGCTTTGCTGAAGAAGATCGATCAACTAACAAGGGAACGCGACTCTGGTGCGACAACTACTTCCCCATTCTGCTTGTATTATGCTGTTAATTCAAAACATACCATGCTTGAAGTGCGTACCGGCTATATATCTGATTGTTTCAGTGATGGCCGAAATGAGGAAATCTGTCACGCTTCGTGGCAAATTGGAGACCTTGTGCCGTGAACTTCAGAAGCAAAACAAGACCATATTGGTACGTTTCAGCAAGCTTCCATTGTCCGTTTTTGCTCCCCTGAATCATTTTCTCATGCTTTTTCTCCCGGGTCAATGCCATTGGTTGCACAGGAAGAAAGCAAGAAGGCTGCAAACGAGCAGCAGCAGAAACGAGAGGAATTATCATCTAAATTCCTCGACTCCATCAAGGTATTCCAGGGCCTAAGCTGCCGCTCGTCCTCACTGTCGTTGATGGTATTCAAGCACGTGCTTCCTTTTCGGCTGTTTGCAGGACATCGAAGTAAGATTGGAAGAGCAGGGAGCTGAAAGATCAAGCCACCTTAAGGAAAATCAGATGTACGATTGCAGTAGCTTAGAATTCCTTGTGCTAGTTCCGTCCGAGCTCATATGGCATGTGAAGCGGGGTTGATATTACGGTAGTCAATTTTTCATACTATGATGTGTGCAGTCTTGCCGAGCAACTCAAGAAAATACAAGAGCATGCCGACGTGAAGGAGAAGTACTGGGCTCACCTTGTAAGTGACTTCACTCGTGAGAAGCTTTTCCTGGTGTGTTTTGTTGTTCTTTTTTTTGTATTTCCGAAATTTGATATTATCTCGCTCTGAATACCTATTTTGCCCCTAGATCAAGACGAAAGACCTGGAGTATCAGCTGTTGGATGCAAAGTATAAGCAGCAAGAGAAGTTAATGATCGAAGAACGGGCTCTGGTAAGCTGACAAAATAGTAAATATGTTCGTTTCAAGATGGATTGTCATGAAAAACGCTGTCAGCATAATCATTCTTTTCCATACTTCTGTGCTCCATAACACTTCCCCACTCTTTAACAGAGCAAGGCAAGAGGCGAACAGGTCATTGATCTTCTCAAGACAGAAAAAGAGCTGAGGGGCCAGTTGGCGTTATATATTGATAAGTTTGATCAATTCCAGGTAAGAAGTCGTTTTTGCCCAAAGTAGTGCAGTTTCCTGCATGATTCTGGCTGGTGTGCTCATTAAGGGAAGGTTTTTTTATGCAGGGTACTTTGTCCAAGAGCAACGAAGTCCTTGGCACAATGAAGAAAGAAATGGACAAGGCAAGTTTAATCCTCACCTGTGGACTTGCTGATGGAGCAATTTTTTTGTCTGACTGGCTTATTGATGTATCTCCATCCAATGGCAGATGACGAAGCGCATCAAGAAGCTGGAGAAGGACAATTCTGAACTTCGAGCCAAGTGTGAAAAGTCAGATGTTTCCCTTATTGAGCTTCTTGATGAGGTAATTGCTATTGACCTTTCACCAAAGAGAGACGAAGGGTTCTGCTCTTACAAAGTTGGCTTCTTCCTCTCCATTGCCTTTGACGGTGCTGTGGCAGCGTGCGGCACAGCGCAAGCAGCTTGAGACGCTGCAGGCCCAGAAGCAGAAGCTGGAGGGGCTGTGCCGGTTATTGCAGTCCGAAAGGAAGAAGTGGCATGAACAGGCCCAAGAACAGCAGCGGCTTGAGCAGGACAGTGTGAGCGTGGAGGAAACTACCGCCGATGCAGTTGATTCCACAGACAAGTCCTCAGATACGTTTAGAGCAGGAGCAACAAGTGAAAGTGGCGAGAGTAATGGCTCTGACACACAGCAGGCATCAACGGTTGTGCAGCCTTCAGCTGTTGTCGACGATGGTGCAGCCATACCAGCATGAAGGTCTCATACGCCTGGAGGGAATAGTTGCTTACCTCTACTCACGCAGTCCTCTTGGCATGTTAGTCAACAATTTGCCACAACAGGTGTTTCTTGATTAGTGGTACAGTACCTCAGGCCAACCTTGAATGGAACTCAAATTTATTGCAGTACAAAACATTACATCATGCTGGCTCACAGCTGTTTACTGTGAAACTCTGCTCATACGTAGAAGAAATACTAGGGTTCAGTAATTAGGGAGAGGGCACGCTCTTTTGTTATTGCAACAGCACGAGTTTAATGCAATCAATTAAGCGAATTTGACATCACACTGGGGGTGGTACTCTATGATGGTCAAAAGGGAGCCTCAAGGGACTCGTCCCAAACCTCTGCACTGCCATTGGAAGCATCATCACCCTCATCCTCCATAGACAGCCGGATGTATTCCGCTCGAGCAAAGCGGTCCCACTCTGTTAACGTGGGGTCTTCTCTTTCCTGTAACAACACAGAAATGCCTATTAGCTTGCAACAGAGTGCACAAGAGGCCGTGACATTCTTCCTGGAAAGGAAGCAGAGATGATTCTGTTAAGTGATTTTGTTTGTCGAACAAGGAAAGTCTGACCTGTCGAATGAGGAAAGGATCACGTGTTTCAAACGCCACGAATTTGTTAAGGTTGAACAGTATGTTAAAGAAGTTGCCCGACAACCGGCACCCCTTCAGGTCACGCAGTGTCATCACTCCATCTTTCTGCTCACGGTGACAGGATCAGAAGTGAAACACAAAGGAAGAACAGATGTTAGAGACAATGACATGGTACTTGAAACCCAGCAACTAATCTTTTACTCAGAATCCAGTTTTTGCTGATCTTTATTCAGTACAACTCCCCTTACCTGCTGTGGACACCATCCATGGAGGTGTTTTGAAATTAGTGCCCATCCACCCAAGCAGCCTCAGCCAAGCACCACCCCAACATGCATGCACCAGCGTTTCTCACCCCTCCCTCACCGCGGGTTTGATCATGTCAGCCATTTGGCAGACGACGTCTTCAAAGAGCACGGGCTCCTGAGCCATGCACTCCATGCGGTGCAGCTGCTCCTCGTAGAAATACTGCATCTCCGGGGCTGTGATGCGCTCGTCCCCATCCAGATCCACACACCGGAACCTGCCATGTGTGCCAAAGGGAATGAGGGGCAGCAATGGGAGAAGGGTTGGGGAGTAGGAATGGAGAGAGGAAGAGAAGTGGAACCCTACCCAAGCGATCCTCCCTTAAAAATGAGCAGGAAAGCAACTCACCAGTACTCAAGGCTGGGTTCGGATGACTTATCCTCTTCTGACAGGATGAACCACACAAAGTCCTCGTACCCCATCTTGCCCTCCACTCCACTCGTGAATGGCCGCGGCACCTGCAGCGAGTGAAGCGGGGAAGAGGAGGAACGACATAGTGAGTGGCACCGTGGTAGCTTGCAGCAGAGAATATTAAGGAGGAATGGAAGCTCCTGAATAGCTGCACAAATGTGCACGGTTGCGGCGCCGTAATGCTGTGAACATGATAGGGACAGAATGGTCAAAAGCTGGTGCATGCAGAGACCAAACACGGAGATGCATCCACTTATAAAACGACCATCCTCTCACCCCCACCTGGGCGAAGATGCGGTAGGTGAGGTGGTTGCTTTTTGAGGCGCTTTAAACAATCCCGTATCTCACCTGGGCGAAGATGCGCTCGACGATGCGGTAGGTGAGGGCGTGGTTGCCGTAGCGCAGCAGGTCGTCCTTGTCGATGAGGAAGTCGTGATCCGAATCCAGCTCCCAGAACTTGCAGTACACCACGTAGAAATGCTCGTACGAGAAGTACCTGCGGGGGGAGGGGGGGAAGGGGTGGGGGAGAAGGGTGGGGGTGGAGAGTGGGGAGGGGATTGAGAGGGAGAGAGAGGTACTTGAGAAACAGAGCTGCAGTACAGCACACACAAGTGATTGTACAAGACTTACCTTATGCAAGGGGAAGGGGAAGGAGGAAAGAGGAGATCTCGAGGGAGTGGCAGCGGGAAGGATGGGGGGTGCGAGTGGTGAGAGGAGACGGGTCTGTAGAATCACCATTGAATTGAACCTATCTTCCTCTATAGTATGCTCAAGGCCCTTATCCTTAAAACAGGGGGCGGTCAATGGACTTAACATGTCGCTTCTCTCACCATAGAGTCCACTCCTCCCAAACTCCTGACAACTCACTTGAGAACTTCATTACTGTTTTCCTCCTCCTCCACCTGGTGCGGTGGAGTGTTTAAAAGGAGCCTAGCGAATCATTATCTAACGACTCACTTGAGCACTTTATTGATGTCCTCCTCCTCCTCCACCTGCTGCAGCGCCTGCATGAGGTTGCTCTTCTTGAGCTCTCTCAGTGAGATGCGCCCGTTGCCCGACCGGCTGATGTGGTAGAAAATGCGGTAGATCACCGTCTCAGCTGCACCAGGTAGAGGATAGAAAGGGATAATAAGGGATAGCAAGGGTTAGGAAGGGATAGAAAGGGATAGTAAGGGATATAAAGGGATATGAAGGGATAGTAAGGTACAGAAGGTATAGAAAAGGATACAACGGGTAGTAAGGGATGGAAATTGGGACAATCAGAAACGCCAGTAAGCGCCGGTCGCGGCTCTACTCTGCCCAGCCGTCCAGTCCCCTACACCACCGCCCACCGGCGTCATCACACGTACCGTATCGTTCTTGGAACTCGGGTGTGTCGTGCAGGAACTCAAGGCCTGGGTGGCGGTTCAACAGCTCGCGCATTATGGGCTTGAAGTCGTCCTGATGTGACGGGGGCAGAGGGGAGGGGGAGGAAGGAAGGGGAAGGGGAAAGAGGCGGGGGCAGGGGGTGGAAGGGAAAGCGGTGGGGGGGGGGAAGGAAGAGGGTGTGGGGAGGGAGTTTCAGCAGTTGGGGGAGAGGGTTAAGGGGTGCACGAGTGTGCTTATTGAGTTTTGCCACATGATCACGATGCATGTCTGTCTCTACCCGCCTTTATCAATGCAAGGACCGTTTGAGAAAGTGAGAGGGAGTGAGTGAAAGAGCGAGGGGGGGAGGGGGGGGAGGGTGGAGGAGGAGAGAGTAGGAGAGGCGAGGAAGAGAGAGAGGAGACAATGACAAGCTGACAAATGCGACAACTTGCACCACATAGCACCTGGGATGGGGTCCTGGTGCAGATAGTACCTGCACGAGGTAGTTCTGGTGGTCCTGTTTGAGCACGTGGAAGATCTGCGTCGCCATGTCCGCTGCCAGCAGCCGGCGGTCCACCCAAAACCGCATGAACGCGTCCCTGCGGATGATGGGGGAGGGGGAGGGAAAGGGGGAGGGGAAGGGGGAGGAAAAGGGGGAGGGGAAGGGGGAGGAAAAGGGGGAGGGGAAGGGGGAGGGGAAAGGAGAGGGGGTTGGGATGGGATTCCGGTTGAGGCTTTAGAAACGCAGCCGCTGGTCCACCCAGAACCGCATGAAGGCATCTCCGGTAAGAGCGGGAAAGGTGTGGGGTAATGATGATGGATATATGAGAGGGGGACGAGTCGTGGATGGACAAGGTTTGGAGAAGAGGACGTGAGAGAGCATGGGCAGTTTCGCTCGCTCTCACATGATGACGAGACCAGCCACGTGAGCACTCACTTGGTGATGAAGCCGGTGGATTCGGAGTCGATGCGTTGGAAGATGACCGAGTTGAAGTAGGACGGCAGGTTGCACACCTCCTGTGTCACCGCCATGAACGCTGCACGGAGAGGGGGGAGAGGGGGGAGAGGGGAGAGAGGGGAGAGAGGGGAGAGAGGGGAGAGAGGGGAGAGAGGGGAGAGTGGGGAGGGACAGGTAGAGTTATGTCACCACGGTGATATTCGTGGAATAACTGGTGGATCTTCCCCATACACTGTTTCGCCATGCTCCGTCTTTCCAGGTTGAACCTTCCACCCTTCTCCCACCTTCCCACGTATTCTCCCCCACACCCTCCCCCAGACCCTCCCCCACACCCTCCCGCGCACCCTCCCACGCACCCTCCCCCACACTCTCTCACGCGTACCCACCTTCCACGTTGAGCCCCTCGGGATGTTCGTGGAAGGACTGGTGGATCTTCACCATTCACTGCTTCGCCACGTCCTCCGCCCAACCTCCCGCTCAACCCCCCGCGCACCCTCCCGTGCACCCTCCCGTGCACCCTTCCGCATCCCCTCTGGACCCCGCGCACTCACCTTCCACGTTGAGCCCCTCGGGGTGTTCGTGGAAGAACTGGTGGATCTTCACCATGCACTGCTTCGCCACGTCCTCCGTCGCCGGCGGGCCGTTCGGAAAATAAAACTGCGGAATTGCCTCGAAGCTTCGGTTCGCGTGCGGCTTCACGGGCGACCCCGCGTGGCTGAGCCCCGACGCCTGGCGACGCAGCGGCGACTTGGGCGACATGGGCTTGTCGCTCCGCGGGGAGAGCGGGGGGGTTGCACCGAAGAGCGACGACGCGCTAGTGGGGGAGAGCGGGGAGAGGCTTCCGCTTGCGCTGTGGGAGTTGGGGCCCCCGGGTGCTATTAGCGGGCGGCCTGCTTTGGCGTCTTCCAATAACGACATCACCTGGATCATGACACGTTGCAGGTGAGATGGCAGGGTTCGAGAGGGAAGTAGTCAGGATTAGCTTACGAACGCTGGGATCTCAAGCAAGAACGAGTCGCCAATGAGAAACAAGCGAAGAGCGACGGTGATCGGCGACCAGTTAAAACGGATAATAAACATTACGAACGAGAACGAAGGTCCGTGTTGGTCCCTTGATACTTCATGCACGAATGCTGATGGAAATATCTTCAGCCACGAATGCTTTTCTCGAATATTCACATATCCCTTCCCGTTCTGTCGAATGTTCGTCGCCATTGGTCACTCACTCCACCGGTTTCCGAGCAAGCACTCGCCTTGCATGCGCAAGCAAACCCTAACCTTGCATCAGAAGGACCTTGCGCTCATTCCGACACGGCTAACCCTAGTCCTAGCGAGCCCTAGCGTAACCAACCTTTTGAGGAGCCAACCCTAGCGGAGCCAGCTTTAGCGGAGCCAAATCTAACGGGGACAGCCCCTGCGGGACAAACCCTAACGGAACCAACTCTAGCGGAGCCAATCTCCGCGAGGCGAACCCACCAGCTTCTGCGATTCCGGCAGCGAGAGCCATTGAATGAAGAGCTCGTCGACCTTCATCTTGGAGGACGGGAAGCGCTGCTGCACCAGCGACGACTCGCCCGACGGCGACCCGCCGGAGAATCTCGCCTTGGGCTGCGCCGTCCCCTCCGCATGCTCGTCGCCCTCGTCTCTCGACACGTCCACGCGCAGACCACCCCCCGCCATTGCCAAGCGAAGTTAGGGGCTTGTGGTTACTATTATGGTTTTAGATAGTATTAGTAGTTGTTATTTGTATTTGGCAAGTCCAGTGTTGGTGCTGATCACACTACACGGTGACTTCGCCTTGAAAATGGCTGACAGAAAAGGGACGAAATTGTTACAGTCGTTGCTACGACACGACGTAAATTTCTCAGATACGTTGGCACAATGCGGTGCTACAGTTTCAACCAGGAGTTTGACAGGCAGAGCTAAGTTCAACGCAATGCTGTGAAATAACCTGTCACAAAAATAAACTCCAGTAATGACCACTGGGATAAGCTCGGAGATTAGCACGGAGAGAGTGGACTAAGCTGGGGCCACTGGGAATGGAGTACATCAAGGAAATGGAGTTGCGGGTGTTTCTGTTGGTGAGGAAAGTGGGGGGAGGTGTGGGGAGGTGGGGTACGGTGAGATGGGTCGAAGTGGGGTGAGGTGGGATAATTGGGGAGATGGGAAGGAGAGGAAGCATGGTGTCCTGCGCTGCTATGCGAGGGGCGGAAGATGCTCCGCGCGTGAACAGGTGAAGGCAGGCGGATGACCAGCAGGTTGGTGGGGCTGGAGGTTTGGCTGGGGGGGCGTGTTCGGTTCGGGGTGGTGAGCACGCTTGGCCGCAAGCTGGGCGGAAAGAACCACTGGGATAATCGAGTACTGACAGCGACTTTTATTGGCCGTTGGATTCCCGAGCAGGCAAGAGGCGTCAGACAGACATCTCCCACTCATCTTGTCCTATGGGTTTGGCTTGACCTAGAAAATGAAATTGCACAACAGGAACCAATCGGGTGACAAGATTTGCGAGGAAATGCAACTACTAGCTGGGGTTTACAACTATACACTCACTTCCACCATACGTCATATAAGGCAACTCATTGCAGCAACCCATACCACATCTGCACACTAGGCAGATGCAGGTTCCTTTTTCCCATGGGATTTGGCATCACTGACATCATTGTGGCTTGCGAAGGACATGTAGACAGTCCATATTAGGCCTACGAGATTCACAGCACCAACCTGCACAACAAGAAAAGAATCATGAGACAATATTGAGGACCACAAGAAGTGAAAATAAGAAGTCCTAAATACACTGCATACCTGTAACTGTGGAGGCACAAGGGCGAAGTTGAATAGCTGGAACGGCACCCAGAGTTTCCACATGTTGATGCATGTTGGCACAAAATCCTGCATGGAGCAAGAGCAAATAAAAGAAGCTAAGAAGCAAGTCACATTCAGTGTCAAGAGCATCAGTGCCCATCACTACAGCAGTTCACAACTGTCATTCACATCTGTCCTTTCCCTTGTGGATCTCTCACCTTCTCCAGCTTAGGCACAATGCGCTCTGGCTTGCCCTCCAGCAGCAGCACCAGCCCCACAAATGTGGCAATTGACAACGGGGAAAATATCACCTGATATGCACAAAGAGAAACGATGCCATTAAGCACTTACTGACAGAAAAGAACCACTGTTCAAGAGAGCAATATAGCCAATCGCCCAACTGACAAGCATAGGCTACAAGAAGGAAAAACCTTACTTGGTCAATGAGCAATCGAGCAAGAACTCCTTTGAAACCCTCAATTTGAATAAACTTTCCAAGCAGGCCGTACCTGTTTCGACACACAGATCACATCATGAATCATTCTTATTCCGTGGACGAGTAAATGGAAGGCTGCAATCCATTGCTCAGATAGAGCAGGAACACTTACATCAATCGGACCTCACCAGATGTGCAATGCGGGGCCGACGATGAATAGTCCAATGGCAGCGAAGCCTCCCAGCCTTCGAACATCAATGGATGAGTCCTTTTCCACCACAAGCTGGAAACAAGAAAATGAGAATCGCAAACACGGGGAAAAGAGTACTGGTAAGAGTAGCTTCGACATTACAAAAATCTATTTAGAATAAAAAAGCAAGAAGAGGAAGTGCACCAATCAACCAAGAGTTCACTCTTTGGACAAACCTGACAGAAAAGGTCTGCAAGTGCGTTCAGCAAGCCAGCTGTGATCCCCTTTGTCACGAACGGACGTTTCTCTAGAGATGTCATGTAGCTGTCGCCAGAGGAGAGGAGAAAAGGGAAAGGTGGGTAGAGATGGAAGGGGGACGTGGGAAGGGGGGGTTGAGAGGGGGAGCGGCCGGGGCAAAGAAAGGATAGGCGAAGGCAGCACACAAAGCACGGTGAACTCCATTTGTCGCGCGATCACGTCTACAAGGCTCACGAACCAATCGCATCTTGAAATTGTCGCTTACCTAAGGGCTAGCAATTGAAGACCTGAAGGCGGAACCCCGCTGTTGCTCGCGTCCCCACCGCCTCCGCCGCTGCCCCCTCCCCCGCCGCCTCCTCCCCCTCCGCCTTTACTTCCCCCAGAGCCCGTATTTCCTCCCCCAGCCTGTGCTTTGACATTGACGGATCGTTTGCTGCTTAAATTGTTTGCAGTGATTCGTCTAATCTCTTTGCCAGAGCGCAATGTTTCGTCGCTCGCACCACCCGCGCGATGGAGCGAAGAGCGAATGCCTGCCAGAGGGCTCTGCGAATGTTCCGAACGCGCGATCGTGCGAATGCTTGCGACATTGACATTCACGCGTGCACGTACGGCTGGCGACAGGCTTGAGACTGCATAGATTGACCCAGAGGATCTCGCAGGAGTCAGGACCTGCATCCCTGGAGGGGACGCGGAGACGCTGCGAGAAGCCATGGCGTGGGAGATGGCACGAAATGCTTTCATGAGACCAGATTTCAAAGCACGTGCGGTATGCCCAGAAGAAGAGGCTTCAACCAGATGATTACGCCCAGAAGCGTCTTCGTTGCACTCCGAAAACAACAATTGTCATTCAACTGTGTATATATCTATATGGGCAAACCTTTAACAGCTGAATTTAGACAAATACACAAAAGCAGGTCTGAAAAAGCCGAAACAGGGGCAACCCATTAGTAGCACAAACTACAATATAATAATGGAACACTTCAGCCTTCCTGGCATTACTTCTGAATGCCTTGCTGCATGTATTGGATCAAATCGTATCCAGCAGTCGTCCATTTATTGTAGGCATCCACGCAAGTGGCAATCATGAAGCTTGCGGCCTCCCTCTCGCCCATCTCTGGGTGGAACCGCTTTCTCAAGTTGCCAACGGCGTCACCACGGGAGAAGCACGGCAGGCCGCTGTCAAGCATCAGCTGCACCGTGTTCAATATAGCATCCTGATGCCGCCGGGCTGCCAAGTAGCCCTTCACACACAGACTGCATTGGGGCATGGAGAAAAGAGATTGGCAATATTAGTTGGGAATGAAGGACGACACCTAGAAAAGAAACAGGATGTAATCATATGCCAATCAGAAAAGAGAAACAATGTGAGCCCATGCTAACTACAAATGCCAACCACAAAGGGAAAAGCATGAAAGCACCACGAGGACACGACGAACAGCAGAGAGTTACATGCCAGCCCGTCACAAGCCCGTCACAAGCCCGTCACAAGCCCATCACATGCAGACAAAGCGGAGCACATAAGCCCCTCTCAACTCATCTCACCCGACGAAGCGGTGCCAGGGCTCGCTCTTGAGGTCGCCCGAGGGGTCGAGGATCTGCGTCATCTCGTGGCTCAGCTTGAACTGCGCACTCTCGAATCGCAGGTTGCCAGCTGGCGACGTCTCGAGGATGAACCCAAAGTCTATGTGCACCAGCCGCCCGTCACTGCAGGGGGATGGGGGGAGAGGGATGTGGGAGAGAAAATGAGGTGCATGGTGGGGTGAGAAGACTAGTTATGAGGCGCCTGAAAACATGAACTCGAAGTCTATGTGCACCAGACGGCCGTCACTGCAGAGGGGGAGAGGAGAGGAATACGGTGGGGAGATGAATTCATAAGAGGGGTTGGAGTGAGGGAGAGAGATAGGGAGGTGCATAGTGAGACATACGCAGTACAGCATGTGCCACTACTGTGGCAGTAACCTGGTTGTGGCTGATCTGCTTGTGGCTGCGTACTCACTAATCAACAAGCAGGTTTCCATTGTGCCGATCCTTGGGCTGCAGCAGCAAACCATATCATACGCTGCTATGGCATGCTACATCATCCCATACCTGCTGTGGCAATACCAGCACACCATAAACTTACTTATCCACTAGCAGGTTGCCATTGTGCCGGTCCTTGGGCTGCAGCAGCAAACTCGCCACAGCATACGCAGCGCTGCTAACAATAAAATTATGCCGCGCGCGCTCGAACGCAGCCGAGCCGGCGGCGCCAAACTCGTTCTGGAAGATGTCAAAGAGCCCGCCGTCCGTGACATCACCCATCTGGTTGCGACTGCGCGTGTTGGGGACAACTTGGATGATGCCTCGCTCGTACCCCGTGGGGAGCACGCCGTAGGGGAACAGGTACAGGTCCAGGCCCACCGCTTTGTTGATGTCTCTCAGCAGGGCGATCACCTGATTGGGGTGAATGGAGGAAGAAAGGAAGGGAGATGCGGTGGGAAGAAGTGCGGGTTAGGCCCACTGCTTGCACTGCTTCATGTCATGTAGCAGGGCATCCTATGTGCACTCATCCCCGCCTGTTAGGGCATATTCTGCGTTCGACTAATAAATCGAGAGGGTAGAGAAAATCATCCATGTGTGGATGTAACAACTTTTGAGGCGCTTCAAAATTAACAAGAGGGCTGAGCTGCGCAGCGCAGCACTGACCTGCAGAGCCAGGACGTCCTGTCTGCAGTCATCCCCGACCTGCCATGGCAACGCATCATCACACCCGGGCACAGGTGGAGGGCATGACACAAGGAACTCAGGACGTGAACAAGTAGGGGTGAGTAGGGGTGTCTCTCAAACACTAACAACACTGAAGCAGACAGAGCACGTTTTTTGCGATAAATCGGACTGGGTCACAGGAAGCAGGATGGGAAAAGGACGAAATTCTCTCAGACGAGGACTGCGTGTGCAGTGCAAGCATGTTTGCAGCAGACGATGACTGTGTGTGTGTGCATCAGACGATGACCGTGTGTGTGTGCAGCAGACGATGACCGTGTGTGTGTGCAGCAGACGATGACCGTGTGTGTGTGCAGCAGACGATGACCGTGTGTGTGTGCAGCAGACGATGACCGTGTGTGTGTGCATCAGACGATGACCGTGTGTGTGTGCATCAGACGATGACCGTGTGTGTGTGCATCAGACGCCACTCACCTTGAAGATGCATCCCTGCTTGACAGGCTTGTGCTCGTCCACCACCCCGTCCTCGTCCTTTCGCACCACCATGAAGGATATCAGGATGGGCACCTGGGAGGGGAAAAGGGGGGGAGAGGGTGTGGTGGGGCGTATGGGAGGTTGCAGCACATGTCAGCCTCATGGCCCGTGTGTTGCTCGTCCACCACCCCGTCCTCGTCCTTTCGCACCACCATGAAGGATATCAGGATGGGCACCTGGGAGGGGAAAAGGGGGGGAGAGGGTGTGGTGGGGCGTATGGGAGGTTGCAGCACATGTCAGCCTCATGGCCCGTGTGTTGCTCGTCCACCACCCCGTCCTCGTCCTTTCGCACCACCATGAAGGATATCAGGATGGGCACCTGGGAGGGGAAAAGGGGGGGAGAGGGTGTGGTGGGGCGTATGGGAGGTTGCAGCACATGTCAGCCTCATGGCCCGTGTGTTGCTCGTCCACCACCCCGTCCTCGTCCTTTCGCACCACCATGAAGGATATCAGGATGGGCACCTGGGAGGGGAAAAGGGGGGGAGAGGGTGTGGTGGGGCGTATGGGAGGTTGCAGCACATGTCAGCCTCATGGCCCGTGTGTTGCTCGTCCACCACCCCGTCCTCGTCCTTTCGCACCACCATGAAGGATATCAGGATGGGCACCTGGGAGGGGAAAAGGGGGGGAGAGGGTGTGGTGGGGCGTATGGGAGGTTGCAGCACATGTCAGTCTCGTGGGCGAATTGGGCGCTCGGGGTTATGCTCGTCGACCACCCCGTCCTCATGCTTGCAGTGCACACCACCATGAAAGATATCAGGATGGGCACCTTTTGAGACGTCTCAAAAGATATCAGGATGGGCACCAGTGGGGAGGGGGAGAGGAGGGAAGAGGGGGGAGGGGGGGGGGAGATTGCACGATTGGTGTGTGGCGAGGCGATGGCAGCACATGCCATGCTCATCCTACAGGTGGCGATGAGATTACAGGGTGCCACCACCATGAGGGGATTACGATGACGCTCGTCACTACAGCGCTCTTGGGGGGGGGGGCGCGAACTTGTGGGGTGTTCTTTCGAAGACGCCGTGCAACAAGTGAGATATTACGATGCAGAAGAGGAAGGGGCAGCGGAAAGCCACTTGGTCTCGAAAGGTTTGAGAAGTCTCAACCGAGCGGAGTACCTTTTTGGCGGACTGTAGGGGAATGCCGCTGTCGAGCACGATGCTGCGCACGAGCATGTTGGGGTCCGTGGGCAGATACACATCGTCTCCTGGCAGCTTTATCTTCTCCAGCTCGCTGGAGGGTGGGGGGCACAGAAGGGTGTTGAAGGTGCAGACGTGCAGAGTGTGAGAGGATATGAGAGGGTGTTGGGTGTTGGGATTCACTCAAAGCATGTTGCAGATGCGCATAGTCACCTGGTAGCCTGAGCAGGGGAAGTGGGGACAACAAAGGGACACAACATGTGGTCAAATACCCCACTTTCCCGCCTTCCCCACCCTTCTCTACCCCCTTGCTACAATCGAGAACACGTACGGCTGGATGGCAGCCCGGCGCTTCTCCTTGGGCACAGGTCGGAGCGTGCCCGAGATGGACGTGACAGCATCAAAGAAGGAGAACTCGCGGTCGAATGCGGCCCGCTGCTCGTCATTGAAGCTGTCGATGATGCGCTGCCGCACCCGCGGGACTATCGTCCATAAAATGTTGGTTGCTGCTACAGTTGCGCCTTCCCCAGATGCCCCTCCCTCTGCTGCTGTGCCGTTGGAGGATTCAAGAGATGGCGGCTGCTGCCCCTCGGGATCTGCCTCTTCTCCCTGGGCGAGTGAGGGGGGTTGGAAGAGGGGGAACACGAGGGCTTATGATGGGTGCAGGGGAAGAGGAAGGGAAAACGTGACGGTGTATGCCCCTCAAAAACTGTGTCGATTTTCTGGAAAGGGACAAGCAGGGGGGGCATGTGATGAGAGGAAGGACAGGAAGAGATGACATACACTACTATAATAGGCACGTGTATGAAGGTTTTTTTTTAGACGTCTCAAAACAAATCTTCATACACGTGAGAATTCTCAAAAGGCATGTGATGAGAGGAAGGGTAGGAAGAGATCACATACACTACTATAATAGGGAAGTGTAGCGGAGCGAGGAACAGAGTGATGTTTGGTTGGGTAATCCCGTTCGTCAATTCCAATCGGATCTTCGATTGCCACATGGTGCACGGTCAACTAGAGCCATGATGCGCCATAGTGCGCCATAGCACGGTCAACTAGACACTACAGGCCAAGGCAAGCAGCGCACCTGCAGCTGCCAGATGAGGATGTGCGCGAAGATGATGTTGCGCAGGGCAGCTCGCAGCAGGTACGACTCCACCAGCCCCTGCCATGGGTGTGGGAAGGGCGAATGGGAGGGAGATGATAGTGGGAAAGGAGAACGCAGGAATGAAAGGGAGGAGGAGGATGTTGCGCAGGGCAAATTGCAGCAGGTATGACTCCACCAGCCCATGCCATGGTTGTACAGGCGAGAGCAAGGGAGAGGCGTGTGAGGATGAGGGAGAGAGGTGACCTTCGAAAAAGACTGAAACGGCCTTGCCAGGGGTGCCGGCCGCTAGGAAGAGATTGGAAGATGAGGATGGGACAGAGTGCATGGAGGGGAGAAGGAAGGAACAGACGAGGCGAGCCAGGCACTGATTTGTGGAAAGCAGGGTAACCATTTCTGAGACGCAGCAGCAAGAAGGGAAAGTGGGAGGGACGGGGATGAAGGATGCCAAGGGCACAAAGAAGAAGACACTCACCAGCAGGCAGTGAACTTGTTCAAAAGAAAGAAGCACATATCAGAATCACATGCTAGCATAGCATCACACATCATGATCATCTCGGAGCGGTTGCACTCACATCGTGGTCGTATCTGAGTGCCTGCACAAGCTGCGGCATGAAGAATGTGACAGTAGGTGGAGGGTACGCCTCCAGCACCCTGAAGGCATACGCCATGACGCGTGGGTGGCCCTTGAAGGCGGGCAGCAGCAGGTTGAGCACGGCTGCTACGGAGCATGGCGCCCAGTAGGGCAGAGGCAGGCGCAGGAGAGGCGAGTCCTGCTGCACTGCTGCTGGCGTCACCACCCACCGGAGAGCCTCGGGGAGAGAGCGAACCAGCAGAGGCATGGACTGGTGGTTGTGTGTGAGGGGGAGGGGATGGGAGGGGAGAGGAGCAGAGGGGAGAAAATGGGAAGGGCAGGGGTCAGTTTCGCCGATGCAATGCCTGCTGACAATGCATCAGGGGCGGGGCGAACCCTGGTGCACTGCTGCTTCACAGATGGGGAGCGAGCTCTCTGCACTGCACCAGTCCAGAAAATGCCGCCTTAGAAGAACCAGCCTGCACACTCAGGCCTCCACTCACCCGGATGAGCGTCCCCACGTCGTCCTGAATGCCCTTCACAGAAGGGAAGCGCTGCGCCAGGCACACGGCTACACGCGGGTCCACAGCCCATGCGGCGCGCACAAGTGGCGGCACGTCATTGGGCGAGAGCGACGCAGTGATGCGCGCCCTGCTGCGCTGGATATCCGTGGCCGCCGCTGCTGCTGCCGTGCGTGATGCGTCCGGTGCAACACTGGTGGGGGGCAGGTGGGTGGGCGGTTGGGCAAGGGGAGGGGATTGGAGAAGGTGAGGCATGTGGCCTTACTGCTGCGCTGGATATCCGTGGTCGCCGCTGCTGCTGCCGTGCGTGACGAGTCCAGTGCGACACTGGTGTAAGGGGGGGAAAGCGTAAGGCAAAGGAGGGGAGGGAAGTGAAGGTGGGAAGGTTGCAAGGTTGAGGTAGCTCCGTGCATTGCTGCATGCCCATAGATGACAGCATCTGAAAGGACAGGATCAGGCTAAAGAAACGGTAACTGACCCTTGACACTCTGCCATCTCATCTGAAGAATAACCTGACTGACTCCAAAACGAAGAGTAAGCACTGACCCGAGGAGAGATGCCTAGGTGGGTTGAGAGGGAGGCACTGACCCGAGGGGGAAGGCCCAGGTGGCGGAGCACTCGGCCTCGTGGGCGGTGAGCAGCGCGAGCAGGCGGCGGCGCTGCTGCCTCTCCTGCGAGCGGTGCGGCGAGAAGAATGCGCCCCACACTGGATGGCGCTGCTGGTGGGACTGGCAGCAGGTGGGAGGGCGGGAGAGGGAACAAAGGGTGCATGAGGGGGGAGTGAGGAGAAAACTGCCCCCCCATGCGGCGCCGCTGCTGCCTCTCCTGCGAGCGGTGTGGCGAGAACAATGCACCCCCCACTGGACGGCGCTGCTGGTGGGACTGGCGGGGGGAGGGAAACGGGGGTGCATGAAAGGGGAGGGGAGGGGGGGAAGGGGGGGGGAGTCGTGGCCTGGTGCTCACAGGCTGGTGCTCACGGGGTGGAGCTATTGGGCTGCGTTGGGCTTCGGGCTGCGTTGGGCTGCAGCTCCTGGGCTGGAACTCAGGGACACACTTTTACCAGCAACACAAGCAGTAGCTCACCGCAGGGGAGAGCAACACAAGCAGCAGCTCACCGCAGGGGAGAGCAACACAAGCAGCAGCTCACCGCAGGGGAGAGCGCAGCAGTAGCTGCGGCAACGGCGGGAGGCGGCCAGAAGGCGTCCTCCATGGTCTCATCGTCAGCGAGCGCCTTGCTGAAGGCGTCCATGACTGCCATCTCCTCCATTGCTGCCTGCCTCCTGTGTGCACTGGGCCACCCATCAAAGTACCCCGCGTCCACACTGAACCACTTCAGCACCGCCCTGAATGGGATGGAGCGGTTGGGAGGGGGGAGGGGGAAGGGGAGGAGGGGAGGGTTGTGGGTGAACGTGGCAAGTGGGTGGAAGTTGAGATCTAACTGACTCCTACAACCCCTACAGGCATTGCACAACACATGCGCACTCAGGTTGGAGAAAGGGGTGTGACTGATGCTCACCTGTGCGCCCGATCCCGAAGCAACCGTGCCGAGAACACATGGGGCGATGCAGCAGCATCAGACCGGCTCACATCCGCCACTGCCGCTGCTGCTGACAAAGACGTTGCCACTGCCGCCCCTCCTGCTCCTGCCCCTGCTGCTGCGGCGGTGCGAGCGGGGTTGGTGGCGACAAGGAGGCGGGTGCGAGCGAAGGAGAGGGCGAGGCGGAAGAGGTCAAACAGGGGCGCGCGGGCCGCAGGGTGGCGGGAGAGACGGGTGATGTCTGAGAGCGAGGCGAGCAGCACACGCTCGATGGCCACTGCCTGGCTCTCACTGCCCCGCCCGTACATCTGCCAACACACACAGGAGAGGAAAGGGACAGATAGATGGAGAGGAATGAGAACAGGAAGATCACAGTATTAGGGTTGGGAGAGCAGCAACTGCGCAATGGCTGCTGCCTGGATCTTACTGCCACGGCCGTACATCTAAGCACAAGCACAAGCCTAGCACCCACCTCAGCACAGTCAGAGATGAAGGTGATCCAAGCAGCATGTGCCCCCAGCTCCTCCAGTGCCTGCGCCTCCTCCCCCTTGTGGTCTGAAAACCCCTCCGGCACCCCCCCCACCACCAGCGGCCGCAGCCACCCCCGCGGCCCCTCCTCATCCCCCTGCACCGCTCTGAACACCCCCCGACGCCCCGCCACCGTCTCCCCCCACGCTGCTGCGATTTGGGCGAGCAGAGGGGCGGAGAGGCGGGGGAGGGCGGCGAGAAGCCAAGCCCAGGCGAGGCAGCAGGCGCGGAGGGACTGGGGGTGAAGAAACGGAGGGGCGTGCGGGCCAGGAGATGGATGAGGCGGAGCTCCAGGGCTGACTGATGGGGGGAGGGACGCCTTCTGCCCTGCCCTCTCTGCTGCCCCTTCTGCAGCCCTCTGTGATGGCCTTTCTGCTGTTCTTCCACCAGCACTAGAGCAGCTACAGCCCATAGGCACCTGTCTCGGACTTTCTCTGCGTCTGCTGCCACGGCTGCTGCTCTCTCCTTCTCCTTCCTCCGCCCCTCCTCCCCCCCCATGTGCCCCCACGACACCACCCCCTGCCCCATCTCCCCTCCCCCGCCCCCGCCCTCTATAAGCGCCTCCATTTGAGTCACAGCCCCCTGCAGTAGAGTCACATGGGGGTCCGGCTTAGCTGCTGCATGCGGAGCGGCGTGTGACCCAACTGCTATGCCGGCGCCGTGCTTGTCAGGAGGGTGAGTCTCCAAGCCTGCTATTCCAAACGTGACAGATGCTGTTCCTGCTGTGCCCACTATGCCGGTTGAGGCAGCAGGGAGGGAGGAGAGGGCAGAGAGCAGCCCGGCAACCTGCCCCATGCTGTGGGCCTTGAGCGCTGCTGCCACTGTGGCCTGTGCTGCTAGAGTGAAGGGCGACCGGGAGGTGTCTGCTGCTGAGCCTGGGGGGTGTGAGTGGGGCGGGATAGAGCGGAGGAAGAGAGATGTTACGAGGGAGAATGCGGGTAGATGGATGAGGGAACCAGAGGAGAGAGAGGCAAAGACCTAGGAGGGATAAGAAAATGGACGGTTACAGAGATTATTCCCCCTGCCCTTGCCATAAATCAGAGATGTGTAGCAGTGTAGCGCGTATGCGCTACCCTCAGCGCCCCCTACCTCGGGGCCGGTGCTTGATGTCTGCCAGCACACTGAGCAGCCCCGCCACTGACTCTGGATCTGAGTCCCCACCACGCAGCACCTCCTGTGGTGCCACGTGGCCAGTGGGGAGGATGGGAAGAGTTGAAGAGGGCGTTCAAACATAGAAGCGCACACACATGAGAAAATAAGAGAGGGGATGTGAGGGGTGGGGGAGGAGGAGGGGGAAAAAAGACGAGACAGAGCATGGGGATAGGTTGGTTGGCAGCTGTCTGCCCTGTATATCTACACACGGGAGCACGACAAGTGACGACGTAGTGCTGCCAAGGACAGCCCTCCACAACCCAACCCTCCCTCCTCCCCCACCCCAACCCACCCCCCAGATCTCACCTCCACCAATGCCTGTGTGACAAGTGGCGCGAGGAGAAACGCCGTGGCGAGCCAGTCCTTAGCCACGTCCATGGCCAGGCTCTCAGCCGCAGCAGCTGCCTCCAGATCCCACGCCACCTCCGCTATCTCCTCCTCCCCCTCCCCTCCCCCCGCTCCCCCTCCCACCCCTGCCGCTGCCTCTGCTGCTGCCTCCCCGACCGATGCGAGCATGTGTTGCGGCGGGTGGAAGCGCAGGAGGGAGCGGATGCAGCGCGGGTGCCAGAGGAGGTGCGGGAAGGCCTTGCGCAGCAGGCTGAGCATGGTGCGCGCTGTGTCGCGCACAAACTCCTGCCCGTCCCACAGGGCGTCCAGCAGCGCGCATGCGTGCGCGGAGAGGGCTGCCTGCCTCATCGTGTCGCTGGGCTCATGCTCCTGGTGGGAGGTGGGGGGGAGGGAGGGCGGGGAGAGGGGGAGGAGAGCAGGCTGAGCATGGTGCACACTGTGTCGCGCACAAACTCCTGCCCGTCCCACAGGGCGTCTAGCAGCGCGCATGCGTGCGCGGAGAGGGCCGCCTGCCTCACCGTGTCCCTCCGCTCGTGCTCCTGAGAGGGGGCCGGGAAAGGAGAGAGGGGGCCGGGAAAGGAGAGAGGGGGGGAATGCAAAGGAATGTGCAATGAGGTGGGAGGGAAGTCGAAGGGGATGGGAGGTGGGGTGGACTAGGTTGGTGATGAAGAGAACCCACTCGATGTGTCCACAGGAAACAGGCAGCATGAAGCTGCATGCGCTGATGACATGACACTCTGCCTTCCTCTGTGATGCTGGGCTCTTACCAGGGCAAAAGAGAACAGGAGTGAATTCAAACGTCTTACCATGGCGACAAGAAGGGCGTCGAAGGCACGGAGAACAACAGCAGAGAGGCAGTGGCGCACGGCAGCGCGGGGGTTGGGCATCTGAATGTACTCCAGCAGACACGTCACTGCACTGCGGTTCTCACTCCCTTCCTCCCACCGCTGCCGTGCCGCCACCACCCCTACTGCGTCTCCTGCTGCTGCCACTTGACTGGTCTCCTCTCCGCGGGCGGACGAGTGGGGGGTGGTGTCGGGGACGGGGACGAGCACAGCAGAGACACGGAGAGACTCGAGCAGCACGATGGACAGCAGATTGGTCGCCTTCACTCCTGCACAGGGGGAGAGATGCAAGGGGATACGCGGGGGAGGTCGCATGATGGGTACATGCACGCGCGTGCATGGGCAGTGGATACACGCATGGGCACATGCACGGGAAGATGCACGGGCAGTGAGAGAACAGACTAGATCTGAAGTATTTACATGACTGAGGGAGTTTCATACCATGACGACCCCATCCACAGCAGCACCCAGTGCATGCCTCTTTGCCTAGCACCCAGTGCATGCCTCTTTGCCTAGCACCCAGTGCATGCCTCTTTGCCTAGCACCCAGTGCATGCCTCTTTGCCTAGCACCCAGTGCATGCCTCTTTGCCTAGCACCCAGTGCATGCCTCTTTGCCTAGCACCCAGTGCATGCCTCTTTGCCTAGCACCCAGTGCAGCCTCTTTGCCTAGCACCCAGCCACCTGCTCAGGGCCGCTTCCCCCTTCCCCAAACCACCACCCACCAGTGATGCTGCTGATCACGCTCGCGTCAAGCCTTGACCCCACGGCCACGCCCAGCACCTGGCGCTGCCTGGCAGCCGCCTGCTCGTTGCCGCTGCCCCTCTGGCTGCCGGGGCGGTGCAGCGCAGCGAGCTCAAGCTCATCATCCAGGCGCGAAAAGGCGCCCACTGCCTGCACGGAGGGGTGCAGAGAGGGCCGCCCACGCACCCTCCAGCAGCACACGCGGGCCTGGCAGCTCTGAGAACACGTCAGCAACCCTAAATGCGCGAAACCATGGATGTTCTGGTGTGCATATGTGTGTGTGTGTGGCCTTGTGTGTGTGGCCGTGTGTGCCTGTGTGCTCGCGCATCTGTGTGCTTGTGTGCCTGTGTGTCTGTTTTCCTGTATGCGAGGGCACATACCAGTGGAGGAGTATGAGCAGCGATGTGCCTCATAGAAGCAGCCCATTCAGGCCGCCATGCGTACGGCCCCTTGGTCACATCGTCCGCACTCCCCCCCGACTTGCCACCTCCCCCTCCGCCCGTGCACGTCGCCAGCACCCCTGGAGGCGTGGGCGACGGGGAACCAGACACGCCCCGCACACCACCAGCAGCAGCAGCATCAGGAGAACCAGCAGCGGCAGTGCTGCTAGCCGCGGCACCAAAGGCACCATCGGCAGCAGTGGCTGCAGCGGCAGCGGCGGCGGCGGCAGCGGCAGCAGCGGAGGTGGGGGAGGAATGGAGGGGCGGGGCGAGGCGGAAGAGAGCACAGTAGAACCAGAGGTTGCGGAAGAGGCGCTGCAGAGAGGGGTCTACTGGGCGGTGCAGTGGGTCCACGTGGCGACACGCTGCTGCCACCGCTGGGAGTAAGGGACCCAGCAGCTCTGCCCCTCGGCTAAAAGGGGAGAGAGGCGGCACGTGAAAGGGGAATGGTGGGGAAGAGGGAGGGGAGACAGAACGGTGAGGCGTTGCAGGGAAGGAGGAGTCCACAGGAGGCGTTGCATGGGTCCACCGGTGGCCCGCTGCTGCAACCGCTGGGAGCAAGGGGCCCAAGAGCTCTGCTCCACGGGCGATACCGTGGGAGACAGGGAAAGGGGATACAGTTGCGGTCGCAAGAGGAGGGTAAGAGGTGGGTAAGAGGCGGTTAAGAGGCGGTTAAGAGGGGAACACATGCACTGCAAATGCCAAGGTTCATGCATTCATTGCATGTGGACCACTCACCTGCCCCCCTCCGCCTCTGTGGCAAGGGCCACCTCAGCGCAGGTGGCGAGCAGGCGGCGCAAGAAGTCGTCTCTCAGGGATGGGCGGGAGAGACCCGACGCCAGCTGCGCCAGCACAGAGGACAGCACCTGCAGGTCGTGCGATGAGAGGTGAGAGGAAAGGAGCGCAGATGAATGGCAGGAGGTGGTTTCGACGTGATGGAAGAGAGAGACTCAACGTAAGCTGTGACAGCACGGAGCAGAGCAACTCGTGGGGGTGTGTGGGGGGGTGAGAGGTGGTAGAAGAGGAGAGAAGAAGGGGAGCAAGTCGTTTCGGAATATCTGAGCAACTCCCACATCCCCATTACACATCGTTTCCCCCTCCCTCCCTCCCTTCCCCGACCAACCCTCCCCTCCCCCCTTTCTCCAGCACTCACCTCCACCTGAGGCTGCACCTCGCCAGCCTCCCGCCCATACTCCCACAGCAGCAGCACCGCCACCTCTCGGTACGGCCCCTCCTGCCCCATGCCTGCTGCCGCCACCGCTGCCGCTGCCAGCGCGCGCAGCACCTCGTGGCGGATAGCCGGGTCCTCCTTGGGGGCTCGCACTGCCTCCAGCAGCAGGGGCACCACGGCTGTCACGGCTGTAGCGCCCCTGGCCGCTGCTGCCACCTCTACAAGGATGGGCGCCAGGTTGTAGCGCAGACACGCCATGCTGGCACGCTGCTGCTCGTCCTGTGAGGGGAGAGGGGAAACAGGCGGTGAGAAAGGAAATAGCACAGGCACGCCATGCGGGGAGCAGCAGTAGATCGCACAGGCCATAACGCTTTGGATTACAACAAGTTGTTTGTCTGAATAGAAGACGCTGTGTTTCTTCTGAACTCGGACAATTTCGACAATTTCCCTCTTTTTTTTTGCTCTGCAAAGCGAAAAACTCCATCTAGGATAAATGAAAATGTAAATTCAGAGCACCTGGGAGGAGGGAGGCTGGCGCATGTAGGATCCCAGCGAGAGCAGGAAGGACTTGACTCGCGAGTGGTCGCCCGACGCCCACGTGGCCTGCAGCAGCAAGCTGCACGCCCCCACCACACTCGCCAGCATTGGCTCCCGCCTCTTGGCAGTGTGCGCGGTGGGGGTGGGTGTGGGGGAAGCAGCAGGGATGGGGCTCTGCATGGCAGCAGCGAGCACGAGGGAGCGCATGGGCAGGAGTGTTTCCTGTAATGCTGCGGCCTCCGCGTCCTCCCGCCCTGCCCCGCTCGCCTCGCTCTGCCGCACGGCCAGCCTGGCTGCTGCTGAGAGCACCGCTGAGAAGAGATCCTCACATGCGGGGATCTGGTGGGGGGCAGGGGGCGGGGAGGGGTGGGGAAGCATGGGAGAACGTGTAAGAGAAGGTAGGCAGCGCAGTGAATGAAGTAGTTGATTCTGTTCCTCTTTAAAAGCTCGCTCCCGCCTGTTTCTCTATTATTCACCTCCCACTCACATCCCTCCGACTTCCCCTCTCTTACCCGACCTCCCACTTTAATTTTTCCCAGTCTCATCCTCTTCACTTGCTCTTGCCTTCCCGCTTCCCAATCCCCCTCCCCCCTTCTCCTGTACCCCTTCTCCCGTCCCCCGTCCCCATTCCCCTTTCCCCCCACCACTCACCTTGCGCCATGCGGATCGGGAGCAGGCATCAGCCACCTGCAGGCACAGCGCCCGCACGCCCTTCACCGCCCGCAGCGACGCCCGCCCCCCCTCCACCGCTGACGTGGCAAACGCTGCTGCTGACTCAGCAGCGTGCAGCCTCGCTGCGACCTCTGCTCGAGCTGCCAAGGACATTCCTGCTGCCTCCTGCCGCCGCAGCTGCCAGGAAGACGGTGGGAGGAAGTGGGAATTGGGGGAGGGGGGAAGAAAGGGGAAGGGAACAAACGGAGAAGGAGGGAGGAAGTTAGAGAAGCAAACACAGGAAAAGTACCTGGAAAAAGGAAGGGAGAGCTTCTGTGCCTAGATTGAATGCATGTGAACTGCACAAGGCAACAATCGCTGCCCTGCGCTATCCCTCGGGGTTGGTTTTCACTTTGCCACATGATTTGCAGCAAACGGTGTCTGCAGTTTTCAGATGTTGAACCCGACTACCCAAAGACAATCCCTAGGAGGCAACAGAGAGGCAGCAGAAGCAGTGGGACAGGGCAATAGCAGCAGCACAACCTCAGTCCAAGGAGCAGCAGAGGTCGGTGGCACAGAGGCCGGCGCAGGAGGGGAGTGGGGAGGGGATATGCACGCTGCGAGCCCCAGCCCTGCAGCAGAGGACGGATACGGTGGATGGAACACACTGCTGCTCCCAATGCTGCCACTGCCACTTCTGCCCCCTCTGCCGCCAGCAGTTGCAGCAGCAGCAACGGCAGACGCAGCAGCAGCAGTCGTGGAGGAGAGGTGCGGCCGAGGGGGGGTTGCCAGAACAGTGGTGGATGGAGGTGGGAAGACCCAGGTGGACCGGGGAGGGGTACAGCCTGCAGGAGCGGCAGCAGCAGCAGCGGCGGCGGCAGCGGCAGCAGCGGCGGCAGCAGTAGACGCAGTGAAGACGGCAGCATGAGTGGCGGTGGCAGTGGCAGCAAGAGAGGGCGTGGAATCAGAACGGGGCGGGGCGGCAGCTGCAGCGGCGGCGGGAGCAGTGTTGGCAGCATATGCGAGCAGCAGGAGCAGCACCGGAGGCGGCCACATGAGCGGCTGCCAAGGCAGCAGCAGCAGGGAGAGGAGGGGAGAAGAAGATCCGCAGCAACAGGGACCCATGCAGGCGAGAGGCAGTCGAGAGGGGCAGTCCAGAGGCAGTGGCGAGCGCAGGAAGCAGAAGCCCCAACCACAGCCGATGAACACACCACCACGCCCCCCCCCCCCCCACCACCACACCATCCAGGCATCCAGCCAGGCAGCCGCAGCAGGGGCAGCAGCAGACGCAGGAATGGGAGCGCATTAGCCTCTCAAACGAGGCTCACCCAGTGGGATGGGAGTCAAAGCAACGTGCAACCCTAGAGCAGTGTGTATTCCTGTAACCAGTGTTTTCCGGGACCTAATCTGAGGAACGACCCATCAACCCACCATCCAGCAACCCCCTCACCTGCAAAAGCTTTATTGAGTTCGACAGCAGAGATGACGTGGCAGCGACGTATTGGCCAACCACGCTCTCCAGAGCCTTCTCCCCCGCGGCTCCTGCTGCCCCTCCACGCTTCCCCGTCAGTGCGCCATCATCCTCCCCGCCCACCACTGCCGCAGCTACCCTGAACGCGCCGGCCAGCAGCTGCAGCCTCCACGGACCTACAGGTACCGCCCCCACCAGTTCCACCGCCCCCTCCGCACCAGGCAAATGCCCCGCTTCCCCCACTGCTCCGGTTCCTGACGTCAGCTGCTCGCTCGAGGCGGAGGGTCTGCGCCCGTCCGAATCGTCCCCCGCCAGCCCGCCTTCCCCTCCGCCGCTGCTGCTGCTTCTGCCCAGAGCGACGGCGGAACCCGCTGCGCCACCACTCCCCCCTCCCACGTGCGGCTTCACCCACGCGTCGAACACGGCTTGCAACGCTTCCGCCAATGCGAGAATGGCGTTTCCACCGCTCTTGGTACTGTCGCCCGCCGTGTCCCCTCCTGGCGCGTCGGTTCCGCCGGCTTCCGCGAGCCCCGCGGGGATGCAGTGCAGGGCTAGCGCCAGAACCACCTCCCCCAATACCGCCTGCACGTCCGCTCCCGCGGACGACGCGCGCGCGGCTGTTCCGCCTGTGAACGCGGAATCCGAACTGGCGCTGTCGCGACTCGATGGGCTGGCGGAAGCTTCGAGGAAAGCGTCGTGCGAGCGCGCCAGGCCCATAAGAAGCTCCGCCGTCGCCTTCCCCACGGGGGAGCCGAAGACGAGCGGGTCGGCGGAAGCACAGCGGCGCAGCTCCGCCAGGAATGCGCGGAAAACGCCGGAGCGGCAGCAAGCAAGCATTGCACGGCAGGCGGGGGAACCCGCGTGGGTTAGAAGCAGGTCGGGAATGGCCTGCAGGTAGTCCAACGCGAGGTTGAGCACGGGGAGAGCGGAGACATGCGCGGAAGAGGCGGACGCGTCATGATGCTTGCGGAGGGATTTCGCGCAGGTGGTTCCGCCAGCAGCTCCCCCTGCACCGCCGCTGGAAAGATCCGGACCGGCGAGCGAGCCGACGGCTGCTGCGAGCTGGCGCAACTCGCGGGGAGCGAGGAATGCGGAAAATGATGTCGACGGCTTCCGGAACCGCCATTTGCTAGCAGACGCGTCGCCGTCGTTATCAATGTCGTCAGTTCGCGACAACGATTCATGAATGCCTCCCGATGCGAGCACTTTTTTTACAAGCAAATCGTGAATGTTGACGGATGTCTCTGAAATGCGAGGAAATGATGGTTTCCCATGGGCATCGGCGGGAGGAATCTGCGCGAGAGTTCGAAAGAGCTCCTCTGCGGAGCTACGCCTGAACACCATGGCTGCCTCGGATCCTTACTAATGCCAAACCTAACCTGAATCACAGGCTATGTATGCCAATAGGCTTCGTACGAGCATGCTGCTAGTCCGGTCTCGAGCGCTGGTGGCGTATGGACGGCAGAAGACTTGTCAGAAGCTGATGTAGCAACGGGAGTAATGATAAGTGGACGGAATGCCAGGCGTGGGGGGAAGGGGAAGGCGGGGGAAGACTTGAGCCGAGGGAGTTCAGGGATGCGCGGAGATTTCGAGAATTGTTTATGCTGTCACGGGCTAAACTGGGGGCACCCTTCCCGCGGAGCCGGATGGAACAGTACTCAGTTGGGTTCATTGATCGTTTGGAGGTTCAGCTTGTAAAATCGTAACCGATCATCATAGTAAAATCGTTCAGTTCATTGTTTTTTTTTTTTTAATGAGAAGAATGTAATTCATGCATATGTCTTGTAGTCAAACTCTGTTAACATCCACCCTTGTACTCATCAAGACACCCTGATGTTAAATGCACACACATAAAAAACCCCATCAAGACACCCAGATCCTAAAAGCACATACATAATAAAAACCCCATCAAGACACCCAATCCATACACCCAACCGAGACACCCCAGACAGCCCCCCAATTTCCCCCCCCTACTCAGCTCACATCCGAGCATCCACCATGTAAGGGGCCTCCACCCAGAGAGCCCCACCCTCCATCTCGACATCGTCCTCCTCCCTGTCCACCAAATCCACGTTCAAACCCCCAATGGAAGACGCCGCGCGAAGCAGAATAACACGGGCTTGTGTCCGCTGTAACGCCACCCCGATGAGCCCCTTCAAAGACCCCATCAGATAAGCCGAAAACGAATGGTCGTCCTCTCGACATGCCCCACGAGACACCGCTAGCCCCAAGTGTGCATCCCCCTGTTGTCGAAGCCACCGCCGAAATCGACCGCCTAGACACCCCCACGTCTCTACTATCAAAGGGGTGAACTGCACGCCCGGGTTGCGTGCAAGCAGGGGTGCGTAGTCGCCCGTCTTGCGACGCTCCCACTCCCTTGCCGCCACTCCTATGGAACGCCCACACTGTCGTAGCAGCGAAGGAGACAGCGACATAGGGTCAGCGACGCTAATCTCTAGAGCGTGAGCTTCCCCAGCCATTGGTCGCCGCACCGCTACATCGACCCGCTTCCCCGGCAGCACCGCGCCATCCTCCAGTGTCACCACCCCTCCTGACGCCTTAGCAATCCTCGCCACTGCAAACTTCACCTCATCATGCACTCGAGACGGACCGTGCTGGTGCTTACATCTCAGGGCATGATGCGGGTCTGCTGGGTCATCATACGCTGTGCCACAAATACACCGCCCCGCCACCCGCAGCTGCTGAATTGGGAGCCCGAGCCGTATAGCCGCTGCGATGCCCCACTCAGCCGCAGTGAATGTGAGATCTGAATGAGCTGGGACCACCGACACCCATGAACCAGCCCCCGGACCCTGAAGGGATGTGAAACGGGCCAAAGTGGCATCGTCACGGGCTAAGCGGCGCAAAGCCTGGAGCTCCTCTACAGCCAACTGCCGCTGCCGTGCTTGGAAAAGCCGCAGAGGAGGGGCTGCCAAACACAGAGATAGGCCCGGCATCTCCTGACGCACAGCCGCAGGCAGCTGCTCAAGGGCCTTAGCAAACCACGGGTCAAGAAACTCCGCCCCTTCCGGAGTGCTGAGGTAATCCGCAAACATCGCCTCCTCACCCGCCACCCCCAGGTGTTCAGTTCATTGTTTCTTGTTTAGCTTTCAAATCGTTTTACAATGCTTTCAGCTTCCATATTCTATGCATAAAAGTACACATTCAAGTGTCATTATACAGCATCAAAACGCTGTACAGCATCAATTCGACCTAAAGCCTGTTGTAGAAATACAAGTTACCTGCAGAGAACAAGAGAAAGCGTTAGTATACAGGCAGAGGTATAAGCAGTTAAACTAAAGCAACCAAAACGACTCACATAGATACACACTTGTTGGGCTGAGGCACCCCTAGGATCTTTTGCAGGGGGTAAATTCTGGTAGAACAATTGTAATAACGGAAGCGTTTAATGAAAGCTTGTGAACCACCTTGCGCTGGTATGTGAGGGCAAAGTTGATTGATTAAAGCAAAGAGATACAAGCATTTATATAAGAGTACAAGGATACAGTTGTAACTACTTTACTGTTGCTGTTGCGGTTCGATACAGTGACGACTCGGGCAACTGCTCTGTAGCGAGTCAGTTGTGTGTCCTTGCTGTCGCGCTGTACTTGTCAGGTCAAAGGTCGCTGACCTTTGACTTTCGCGTAACCTCCGGCAACCTCTTTCAACCTCCGAGGGTTGACTCGCGTGTGCCTCGATATGGTTCGCTTCGCTTCTGGTGTGATGTTTCGACACGACAGAGGCGCTTTAGGATTTACTGTTTCCAACACTCCCCTTCGCTTCTGGAGTGTCGCTGCTGATGACGTGGCCTTGTCCAGTCAGCAGCATGCAGTACTCGAACTTCTGCTTTCCGAGCTTCTTGGTCAAATAGTCGGCTGCCATCTCGGACGTGGGACAGTAGGATAGTTCAAGTCTCCCCTTCTCGATCTCGTCTTTCACGAAGAAATATCGCAGGGCGATATGTTTCGTTCTGTTCGCGAAGCCACTTTTGTTGGCGATGCGAATTGCCGATTGGTTGTCGCAGAACAGGGTGAAGTTGGGTAACTCAGCTAATTTCACTTCTTCCAGCAGCTCGCGAAGATAAAGTCCTTCTTTGGTGGCTGAGCAGAGTGCAATGTATTCTGCTTCAGCTGATGAGAGTGCGATTAACTCCTGCTTGCTCGACTGCCAGGAGATAGGACCGATAGGTTCAAGGCGATAGATGTAGCCGGTGCGCGAGCGTCTGTTGTCTGAGTCACCAGCATGGTCTGCGTCGACGTAGCCGATTAACTTAGTCGGTGTAGTTGCGTTCTTGTGATAGGTTAGCCCGATCGTCGGGGTGCTGACGAGGTAGTGAAGAGCGCGGTCGAGCTCTGCTAGGTGCTCTGCTTCGGGTCTTTTGAGGTAGGTGGCGAGTTGGCTTGCGGAGTAGGATAGGTCTGGGCGACAGGTGACGGTCGCGAAGAGAAGGCACCCCAGCTTTCTCTGGTAGTCGCGAATGCCGGCAGGCTTGAGTGGAGTGGATTCACCCTTGTTGTTCCCTGTCGTGTAGCGATATGGTGTGGCGATGGCAGTTGGTGCAAGAGCGAAACGCTTGGCGATGGTGTCGGCGTATTTTGCGGCGCTGAGGTAGATCGCGTCGTCTTCTTCTCGGATGTTGAGCCCAAGATACTGTGTGACGGTAGATGAAACCGTGAGCATGAGATCTTGCTGCAGCTCCCCTTCGAACCAGGTGGTGATGCTGTCGGACGAGCCGATGTAGAGGAGGTCGTCTACATAGACGATTAGCAGGACGTAGTCGTCGTTCTTCGTGAGCCGGTACATCCCCTGATCGTGGGGTAGTTGTTTGAAGCCAATGCGGATGAGACGGGCGTGTAGGTACTGCTGCCATAGCCGCGGGGCTTGCTTAATCCCGTAGAGCGATTTCAGTAGTTGACAGACTTTGTTCGGCTCTCCGTTAGTGCCATGTGGGAGTTCGACGAAGATCTCCGCGTCGACAGGTGCGTAGAGAAACGCGTTGGCGACATCGATCTGTCGTAGCTTCTTCTTCTTCATGGCGGCGATCGCGAGAAGAATTCGAAGTGAGGTGTGTCGGCTAACCGGGGCGAATGTCTCGGTGAAGTCCCGTCCGTGCTCCTGATCGAATCCACGTACAACCCAGCGTGCTTTGAACTTCTCAATTGTGCCGTCTGCTTTCGTTTTGACGCGGAAGACCCATTTCCCGGTGAGGATGGTCTTGTTTCTTGCCACGCTGATGGGAACGACTTTCCAGGTGTTCCGTTCCTCCAGCGCTTTTAATTCTCTGTCCATGGCTTCACGCCATTTTTCCCTGTGCTCCCCCCCCAGAGCCTGTTGAACCGTCGCAGGCTCTTTAGGAATGGCGGGACCGTGGACTGCGGTGACGAGTCCGAGTATCTGAAGTCCACTCTGTGAGTAGCGGGGGAGTGTGGTGTCCTCGGGATAAACTGCTTCGTCTCCCGCTTCTGGTGTAGGATTGAAATTTGGTCCTACTCGTTCTGCTTCGTTGGTGTTGACCCGTGCAGGTGTAACGTAACCGTTGTCGGCGAAATCGTAGAAGACTTCGGCGTTGATGCTTTCGCGAGGATTTTCGTCGTCCATTGGGATGTCCACGGAGCAGTAAGGGAGAGGTCCGGCTGCTTCCGAGGCTCCTTCCACGTTCTGCTCGTCCCAGTCAGCTTCGTCTTCTGCCGAGGCGAAGGCTCGGTTCCCATGAAATCCGCCCGAGAGGTCAGGTCTGTTTTCTTCGATGTACATGAGGTGAGTTCCGAGGGTGAGGTGTTCGTAGAAAATGACATCACGTGCTGCTACTGTTTCCTTGCTGTTGATGTCGAAGATTTTCCACGCGTTGTAATGTTTTGCGATGCCCAGGTGTAGTCCCCACTGTGCGCGTTGAGAGAATCGCCCAGCTCGTGCAGATGGAGGTCGGTACTGTACCATGCAGCCGAAAACTCTCAACATTTTTGTGCTGCCCAATTTTCCTGTCCACAGCAGATGCGGTGATGCGTTGTTCGGGAGCGATGATGACGAAAGCAAGTTGTGCAGCATCACGGCGTGGTCCATTGCTTCGGGCCACTGGTGGTTGGGCAGGTGCATGCCACGTAGCAGCTTGCGCATGGTGGCTTGCAGCGTCCTGTTCATCCTTTCTGCTACGCCTTGCTGTTGGTGAGCGTAGGGAAGGGAGATGAGCCTCTTGATTCCTCTTTCTGCCAAGTACTGCTTGAACCTCTGTGAGGTGTATTCTCCTCCCCCGTCTGACTGAAAGCTTTTTAGCTTAGCTCCCGATTCTCGTTCTGCGACTGGAAGCCAGGCGACAAAGGCTTCGAAAGCCATGTCGCGACTTGGAA